CGAATAACAGGATGATGAATGAATGAATGTATGAATATGAAGCAGGTAACATGTTCAAACTTTTAAGTTAGATAAAATTGGAAACTAGCGAAGTTAAGTATCTTCACCTTGATAGCACAGCTCATGGGTGGTGAAATCACAACTTGAATTTAAATTGCTAGACTACCCAAGAAGCAAAATTAGCTGTTACATTCCACATTGCAATCGGGGCTGGAGAATAGCTATTAGGGCATATATCTCACATGTGGGCTAGAGCGATAGCACAGCGGGTAGGGTGTTTGCCTTGCACGCAGCCAATGTGGCCGACCCAAGTTCGATTCCTCTGCCCTTCTCAGAGTGCCCGGTAAGCTACCGAGAGTATCTCGACCCCAGGGCAAAGCCTGGCAAGCTATCCGTGACATATTCAATATGCCAAAACATAGTAACAAGTCTCACAATGTTACTGGACCCGCTCGAGCAAATCCATTAACAATGGGAGGACCCTGACCGTGATCTCACATGTTCCCTAACTGAATTTGATTTCTAGCACTTTCTCTCTCCAGTCCCAAGCCCCCCAAATTTTTTACACTGGTTACTTCTTTAGCACTTCTAATCCCTGGCAACTACTACTCTGTTCTCAGTCACTGTTGCTTTACCTTTTTTCTCTCTTTTTGAGTCACACTCAGAGATGCTCAGGGATTACTCCTGGGTCTGCACTCAGGAATTACTCTTGGTGGTGCTCAGGGGACCATATAGGATGCCGGGGATCAAATCCGGGTCAGTTGCGTCCAAGATACCCTACTCACTGTACTATCGACCTGGCCCCACATTGCTTTACCTTTTCATCTTTTCAAAAAATACCATCAGTGAAATCATATAATCCTTTGACATTGGCATCTGTCACTCAGCCTGATTTTGGTGACATGCCATCTAAGTTGCTGCTTTTACCTATGGATAGTTTGTAGAGTGGAAATTGTTTACACCTCCTTACCTACAAGTTTAAAACCTAAAAAACTGTGCCAATAACAGGGGATGGAGAGGTAGTCTAGGAAGTTAGGCATAGGCTTTTCATGTAGTCAACCCTAGTTCAGTTCCTCAGAAGCAATATGATCTCCAAGATCCACCAGGACTGGCCCCAGAACACAGAGCAAGGAGTAGGCGCTGAGCACGGCCAGGTGTGGCCCAAAAAGAAAAAAAATAATAAAAGAAGGAGGAGCAAAAGCTATGAAAAGAGGGGTTGGAGAAATATTACCATGGGTAAGGTGTTTGTCTTGCACACAGCCAACCTGGGCTTGTCGTCTACACTCAGTCCCATATTGTTTCCAACCCCTGCCAGAAGTGATCCCTGCGGTCATAATCAGGAGTAAGCCTGTAGTAAACTGAGTGTGCCCCCCCCAATCCTCAAAAAAAAAAAATGACGGAAAGAACAGGTAAAGGTTCTAGACTTCTCAAAATGTATTACCTGCTTGGCAAATTTTTAGTTTGAAATCACGTGACTATCGTAAAAATGCTTTTTTAAAAAAATTCCTTGTATAACTGAAACCCAAGCACAAAAATTTGTAAGTCTACAACGGTACCTCATGGTGTTTCACTAATAAAAATTTAAAATAAATAAATAAATAAATAAAGTCTAATGTCAAGGAACAAAGTCTTCTAATTTCTCTGCGTGTGAAAAGTTAACTGAAAAAATAAATAAATAAATAAATAAATTCCTAAAAGTCCAAAGCAAAATTAAATAAACCTAATTGGATATCAAGTTACTACCATAATCACAAGAAGTCACTTGAACCAACATAATTTGACTATAAAGTTGGAGAGAAAATCGGTGGGCTTTCACGGGTGGCTTATGTGAGGCAGAGAGGAGAGAGGTGGTCACTTTCTCCAGTTCCGCCTCTGCCAACCCGGTACCAGCTGGGAAGTATAGGACAAAGTCTGCAAATGAGCCCCCTGCATGGCTGGGGCTAAATAAAGCCCAGACAGCTCCACCAGGTGGCTGTCAAGCCACACCTGAGTTAATCCCTTACCACCTAATCTCTCCAGGAGCCAGATTTAAACTCACAATCACAATCACAACCATCCTGTTATTCGTCGATTGCCTAGAGGAGGCCCCAGTAACGTCTCCTTCGTCCTAGTCCTGAGATTTTTTTTTAAAAAGTGCCATATTCAAGGCTCTTTCAGAGTTAGGAAAATGAGACCCTTCATTGTTACTGGTATTTGGCATATTGGGTACGCCACGGGGAGTTTGCCAGACTCTGCCGTGTGGGCAGGTTACATTCGGTAGCCTGCCAGTTTGTCCAAAGTAGGAATGAGATAATACGATGTCACGATGTCACGCAGCCGCGAATGCGGCTGTGCGCTTCCAGGAGCTGGGTTTTATAGTCTCTGAGTCTTGGCCGTTGATGGGATTACACGGCGCCAGGGGGCCAGTTGGTGGGTGTGACCCCCGCCTACTGGAATTTGGAGGAGCTGGGTGGAGGATGTTCAGCCCCGATCCAAGTAGGCTTGGAGATCTCAGCCCCGGGACCCGCCAGCCTTTGTTCCTCTGCCAGTACCTTCATGTGTGCGCGGAGAGTGGTCACAGCATGGTGGTGGCTGGTTCTGGAGGTCTTCGGCTGCCGGAGCTCTGGTCGGGGTGGGGAGGAAAACTCAACCCGCTCCCCTCTAAGGGGTCCCGGCGAGGACAGCCAGGTGCGGGGGGGCAGGAGACTCAGATTTAAACTGGATCGAGGAATTGCCCTTCCAGGAAAGGAAAGTCAGTCCTAGACTTTACTCTGGCCTTATAGGTTCTGGTCCTCTCACAGAAAGGAATTTCAGGAGTAGACAGTGAAGTAAAAACAGATTTTATTTGGAGGATTTGAGAAAGGGAAAGGAGGGAGAGAAAGTGGGAGAGTAACACATTCAAGAGTAAACAGGGGCTTCTTCAAAGACAAAGAGAGCCCCAGAGCACATCTCAAGAGGGGAGAGGCCGGGGACACTTGTGCTCAGGCATCACAGATGTTCGGCCACATGGGGACAAGCAGCACATGGGCTCGGACGTCATATGCGCACCCTTCCTTTGTTCAAGGCGGCTTTTCTAGAGTTTCTCCAACTTGCCTCCACATGGAACTTCTACCTAGATAAAATTCCATTGCTAGGGTGGTTGCCAAGGGATTAGAGTTGGAAGTGGTTGATGATTCTCTTTGAAATTCCTTTCCTGGCCATTGTTTCTGTTGGAGCTTCTTGGAGGAGCATCCAGTTTTCTCTGGGTCTGTGGGGACAGGTGAAAATCTTTTCAGGACCCTTAGTTCACCAGGTGGGTCCTGACGGCATTAGGACTAGGTGGTTTTATTACTCCCTAAGAACCCCATCACCAAGGGGACCCTTCCCATCTAACTGCCTACATCAAAGAGATTCAGCTACCAAGTCACTGTAGACCCAGGTTGATAGATCAGGAGTCTTCTTTTTTCTTTTTATTTCTCTCTTTTTTTTTTAGAGAGGGAAAGGTGTCATACCCATTGGTGCTCAGAGTTTACTCCTGACTCTACAGTCCGGGATCACTCCAGGAGGTGCTTGGGGGACCATATGGGATGCCTGGGATCAAATCCAGGTCTGACATTTTCAAGGCAAATGCACTACCCATTATACTATCTTATTATCGTACTATTTCTTGGTCCCTGAGATCTCTGGAGCCTTCTCAGGATGAGGATTGGGATGGTAGCGAGGAGTTTGATAAGGTGGTTCACTTCAGCTTCCAGTTCCCAGCTGTTAGGTAACACTTTGCTGCTCCCACAGGGAGCTTAAGGTTTATTGAGTCACTCCTACAACAAACAGAGCAACTGAGGCACATCTAATAATCTTATATTGCTTTTCTCTTTCCCTTACGTCATTTGTATGGTTTACTTAGTAATGTCCTTTTTGTATAGACACAGGAAGACAATTGATGCTATATTATGTAACATGTGGGTTAATTGACTCCAAAATAATATTTACTCCTGGGCATCCATATTTACTTAAGCTTCAATTGCCCTTATTTCCTAGCACTCCAAGATCAGGGTCCTGACAAGGGACTGATGGACCCAGGACAAGCTGTGAGCTACCCTGGCATTGAAATGTGCCAGGCCAAGTGCCATAATACTTAACTATAAGTTAAGAGCATGGTCATGGACAAACTCTGTCATGACCCAAAAGAAGTAACTGAATAAGGACCCGCTGGGGTTAGGAAGACTAACCTGGACTGAGGACTGTGGTCTGTAATATATAGTGAGATGTCCTCAAGGAGAAACAATCTTTAAGCTAAATATATATCTTACTGTGCTCATAGAAAATGACATTGCTGAAAATATTATAAGCAGTAAATTTACTACAAATATTTAAGTGGATTACTAGCTGAGGAAAGAAGAAAGCAACACACCCTGGATGGAATCCCACCCTTGAGCGGATCTCCTAGTAATCTGGAGTAATCTCCTTAGATGAGATTTTGTCCTGGAGGAGTGGCCTTACCTCTCTATTGATTTGTTAATGTTCAACCCCACCTTTGTATCTCCACCTTACAAGACAGAGGATTTAAGAGAAAAGCACAAAGGAAGAAGATGAAAAGAGAGCACAGCAACAAAGACAAGACAACAAGAAGACAAGGAGGAAAACTGAGATTTTGAGGTTCGCCTAGGATGATGGAACCCTGATGACTGAAACTACAGCCTTAACGACAACTGAGACTGTGCATTAAAGGGAGAGATCAGACGACACCAGGGAGTCTGCTCATCGCCCACCTTCCATCCGTTGTCCCAGAAGAGCCTGGGGAGGCTGCTGACAGTCCACCGAGTGCCACCCCCACGTCCTGCCCTCATCCTGCCTGCACTCGGCCTGCAAGGGGGCCTGCCTTTGCTACAGCCCACCATTTCTCACTTCTTATGTATCTATCCCGTGTTGAGTTGAGGTTGAGGAGACACACACACACAAAAAAAAAACACCCAGCACCGTCTTTAATCTGGGCTCCACGCTCTGCCTTTGTGGTTGTGTTTTCGGCAGATTCCCTGGATTTGAGCTCAGTACAGAATGATCGAGGTTGTGTGTAATGACCGCCTGGGCAAAAAAGTCCGCGTTAAGTGCAACACAGATGACACCATCGGGGACCTCAAGAAGCTGATCGCGGCCCAGACAGGTACCCGTTGGAACAAGATCGTGCTGAAGAAATGGTACACAGCTTTCAAAGACCACGTGTCTCTGGGGGACTTTGAAATTCACAATGGGATGAACTTGGAGCTTTATTACCAATAGAGCAGAATGGGCCAGTCCCGGGCATTGTTACCATAGAGAACCTGCACTAGGGGCTCCCCACGGCCCACGGAAAGGGATAGGGGGAACTAGGGACTCGGAGGAAGGGAAACGCATACTGGTGGTGGGATTTGGTGTTGGAACACTGAATACCTGAAACAACTCTATTATGGACAATTTTGTAAATCAGTGTTTAGAGTTTCAAACTGTCACTCACTGTCACTGTCCTCCCGTTGTTCATCGATTTGCTCGAGCGGGTCCAGTAACATCTCCATTGTGACAATTGTTACTGTGTTTGGCTTATCAAATACATCACGGGTAGCTTGCCAGGCTTTGCCATGCGGGTGAGATACTCTGGGTAGCTTGCCGGGCTCTCCAAGAGGGGCGGAGGAGTCAAACGGGTCAGCCATGTTGGCCACTTGCAAGGCAAACGCCCTACCCTCTGTGCAATCGCAATTGACTATACATCCCTAGAGAAGGACACCGTAAGGACAAAAAGTATTCTACACAAAAACATAAGCCATTTTTATTAAGCATATGCAATCGTACTACTAATGTTATTCTGAAACCATTTTACATATATGGCAGAATCAAGCAGTAAATAATGACAAGTACCAAGATTTTTAGAAGAGATGCACTTATAAAATAAAAAAATAAAATCTATGGAATCTTAAGTTTGTGCTGAAAATATTAATATGAACATAATTCATTTTATTTTTTAAAAGTCATGTATTTGAGCTGTATTACGGATTCACTACCGGAATCTCACCATTCTACAAGAAAGTGATCATTGATGTCAAGAGAGGGGTTCGACAGGGTGATACCATTTCACCGAAACTCTTCAGTACCACCCTTGAGAACGTCTTGCGACAACTGGAATGGGAAGGAATGGGAGTGAAGATAGACGGTCGGCAACTACACCACTTCCGCTTCGCTGATGACACTGTTCTAATAACACCAAACATTAGCCAAGCAGCACAAATGCTGGCCTGTTTCAACAGTGAATGTGGAAAGTTGGACTGCAGCAGAATCTCACGAAGACAATGTTTATGAGAGACGGACTCGTTCCTGACATTCCATTCGCTCTCAATGAAATGACCATCTCCGAATGCAACAATTAAGTGTACCTAGATCAAGAACTCAACATGACAAATGACCTGGCACCTGAGTTGCGCAGGAGGAAGAGAGCAGCTTGGAACGCCTTCAAGAGCGTCGAAGAAATAACTAAGAGGATGAAGAACCTCTGGCTCCGGGCACAGCTCTTTAATTCCACTGTTCTTCCTGCATATGGCTCAGAAACCTGGGCCCTACAAAAACAGGATGAGAATGCTATTTGGGTCTCCCAAAGAGGAATAGAAAGAGCTATGCTTGGAATATCACGCTTCACTCAAGTGAGAGAAAGAATCTGGAGTTCCGACCTTCATCAACGATCAAGAATCAGGGATGCTGTCTCGTTTGCCAAGGCGTCGAAAATCAGATGGACTGGACTCATAATGCAATTTGGAGATGACTGCTGGACTAGAGCCGTTACTGACTGGATTCCATAGGACGTCAAAAGATCGTGTGGTTGCCCACCTACGAGATGGTCAGATTTCTTCATCAAGACCCTGAACGAACGGTTTGAGGCTCTTTGTATTCCTGGAGCAAACAGACGCCATTGGGCTACACTAGCATGTGACAGGGACGAATGGAGATGTTACTAGCGCCCGTTCAAGGAAATCAATGAGTAACAGGATGTCAAGTGATCAAACGATATTTTAATTTTAAGCTCAGTTTTAAAAGACAAACGACAGGGGCCAGAGTGATAGCACAGCGGGTAGGGTGTTTGCCTTGCATGCGGCCAACAGGGTTCGATCCCCAACATCCCATGTGGTCCCCTGAGCACTGCCAGGAGTAACCCCTGAGCATTGCTGAGTGTAACCCAAAAAGGAAAAAAAAAAAAAGAAGACAAATGACAGCCCAGTAACAAGGAGCCGTTGAAGCATCCAGATTTTGTCTAATGTCTAAATAAGACATTCTGACTTGAAGGCAGGCTTGTTGAGAAAAAGACTGATTCTAAGAAACTGTATGAAATGAGTGTAGAACACTGAATTACAACAGAATTCTAGTGATCTCAGGTGGGGAATGCTTCTCATGCTCAGTCTAGCGGGAAATTGAAAGAGTTTTAGAGTTTACTTAGGAGAACATGCAACTCTTGCACTTTTGCTATATTGTAATTATATTGTAGAAATTAAGAGTTAATTTCTACTCTTCATCATGGAAAAATCTTAAATGCATAGAAAAGTAAAAAAGAATAATATCAGGAACATACACTTCCCCATTATCCAGCTTCAACAGTGATCAAAACTCACCACTTTTTTTCCATCCATTTTCCACCTAATTACCTCTCCCCACATTTTCAAGCTGATTAAATTTTTCTCATCCCTTCATCAAAGACTATGTTTAATCCATAATCTATGTGTACCTAAAATACACAGTTACGTACAGAAAAAAAAATTGGCACAAAATACACATATAGAGTGTCCTAAAAGTAAGTAAGATCAGCTATCTTCCTAGAAGTGTGATTCTGGGGTGCCGTGTTCACTGGAACCAGCCTGCGTGAACAGGCCTGAAGCAGGGGCAAAATGAGTATTAATAACAATAAAATTAATCACGGGGAGTTTGCCAGACTCTGCTGTGTGGGCAGGCTACATTCGGTAGCCTGCCAGTTTGTCCAAAGTAGGAATGAGATAATAAGATGTCATAATAAGAGTCTGGCAAACTTCCCGTGGCGTACCCAATATGCCAAATACCAGTAACAATGATGGGTCTCATTCTCCTAAAGAGCCTTGAATATAATCTCAGGGCTAGGATGAAAGAGACGTTACTGGGGCCTGCTCGAGGCAATCGACGAATAACAGGATGATTTGTGTGATTTGTGAAAATTAATCACAGAAATGGGGGGGGGGGGAAGCACAGGATTTGGGGGCTAACAACCCCGCACAGAGCCTTAACTATCCTCAGCTTGCTGTATTTATTACTTAGAACCAGTAAAGTGAGGAGGGAAGCAGGAAGGAAACTGGGGACATTGGTGGTGGGAAATATAGACTGATGAAGGAACCGGTGTAGGAACATTATATGACTGAAATCCAATCATGAACAACCTAGTAACTGGGTATCTATTCAATTAAAAAAAATTTTTTTTAAGAAATTGCTTTAAAAGAGATATAAACTTCTCTATGTTGCCCACGCCCTACCATGTCTAAATCTTATCTAAGAAGATTACTCCAGATTACTCGGAGATCCACTCAAGGGTGGGATTCCATCCAGGGTGTGTTGCTTTCTTCTTTCCTCAGCTAGTAGCACTGTAGCACTGTCCTCCCATTTGTTCATCGATTTGCTCGAGCAGGCACCAGTAACATCTCACAACAAATTGTGACTTTTTTTTTTTTGAGACTTGTTACTGTTTTTGGCATATCAAATACACCACGGGAAGCTTGCCAGGCTCTGGCCGTGCCGGTGAGATACTCTCAGTAGATTGCCGGGCTCTCCAAGAGGAGCAAAAGAATCGAACCCCGGGCATTTCCATTTCTGGCAGGCAACTTGCTGCTGGCTCTGTTCAGACAAAACCCTCTTTCGTACTGTCTCTCAAAGAACTACAAATCCCAGAAGGCACTTGGCGAGCGCGCCTGCGCAGTGCGCACGTCTTCCTCCTCCCCGTCACTCTCGCTGGAAGAAGCGGAAGAAGATGGCGCTCACCAGGTGGGTTGTTGATTCGGGCCTCGGTACGGAAACGTCCGGGAGTACCCCCCCCTCCAACCCCCCATGTTTCTTTTCTTTATTCTCACTTTCCGGGAGGGATCGGGGGCCGGGGTGGCGGGCCGCCGCCGCCGCGAGCTGGCCCCACTCCCACTGGGGCAAGCTAGGCCTCGCCGGCGCCGGGCGCTTTCCCAAGTGGCTTCCCGGGCCGGGGGAGCCGCGGCGCGGGGAGGGCAGCGCACGCGCGCGCCGCCGTCTGCCCGGGTCTCTCCGGCCCGCCCCGGCCCCGCGTCTGGGAGGAGGCGCCGGGCTCTTGCCGGCCGCTGTCCAGCGGGGTCGGCCCCCCTGTCGGACGCGGGACCTTAGAATTTCACGCCGGGCCGTGGAATCGCTTCCGATGTTTTTGCTGGACCCGTTGCCTTAGCAACCGCCGGCCGCGCGCCGCGTGGGCCGGAGTGGTTCCCCCCCACGGGGAAAGCCGCTCCGGAGTTATGTAACTTTGCGCCCGGGACACTTGGCGGGGGCGTCCAGCGGGGCTAGCATCGGGCCCGCCGCCGGATGGTCGTTCCCAGGCCTGGAGATGGGTTTTGGTGTGTTTTTTTTCCCCCCACCATTATTATTTTTTATTATTATTAATATCGTTAGCGCTGTCTTGGGGCTTGTGTGCGTAGGGAAGGAAGATGATGCATGCGTCGTTGGCGAGCAGGAACCCAAGTGCCAAGCGAGTGAGGCGGGATGAGCGGGAATCGGCGCGAGGTTTCTCGTCGCTACTTTTTAGGAGACAGTGACCGCTGGGGCTGGTGGGGAAGGCGAAATTGGAAGAGGGCACCCAAGGGAAACGAGAAATGTCGTGAGTGGTGGGCGCTGAGTGGTGCCGGACGGTGCCCCCGGCAGAGCGCAGTTTTTTAATCAATGTCTTGGGATTGGAGTGAGCTCTCTTGAGTTACTTCTAAGAGTCGCGGGATGCTGCTGAGTTCTGAATGGACTTTCCAGAATCTCAGGATGGTGTTAACTACTCTTGAGTGTCTCGAAATGGTGCTGAGTGCTGAGTTTCCTTTGAGCGTCTCGGGATGGGGTTGAGTTCTGAGTTACTTTTCTAGAGTCCTGGGATGGGGTTGAGTTCTAAGTTAATCCCCAGTCTCGGGGTGGTGCTGAGTTCTGATTTGCTTTTGCAAAAATCTCAGGATGATGTTGAGTTCGGATCGGGAAGGGGTTGAGTTCTGAATTACTTTGAGTGTCTCGGGATGGTGTCGAGTTTTCAGTTACTTCTGAGAATCTCCGATGGGGTTGAGTTCTGAGTTACTTTCAGCGTCTTAGGACAGGGTTGAGTTCAGAGTTACTTTTGAGAGTCTCTAGATGGGGTTGAATTCAGAGTTACTTCCGAGAATCTTATGATGGTATTGGGTTCTGAGTTACTTTCAGCGTCTTAGGACAGGGTTGAGTTCAGAGTTACTTTTGAGAGTCTCTAGATGGGGTTGAATTCAGAGTTACTTCCGAAAATCTTATGATGGTATTGGGTTCTGAGTTACTTTCTTTTTTTTTTTTTTTTACTCTCGAATCTTTAATGTTTGCATAGGAGGATTTTTTTGGGGGGGGGTGGATTTTTGTTTTGGGTCACACCTGGCTGGGCTCAGGCCATAGTCCTGGCTCTGTGCACAGGGGTCACTCCTGGAGGTGCTGGGGGCATTATATGTGCCTCTGAGTTACTTTCGAGAGTCTTGGGATAGTTTTGAGTTCTGATTTTCGAGTGTCTCAGGATGGGGTTAAGTTCTGAGTTATTTCCAAGAGTCTTGGGATGGCATTGAGGGCTGAGTTACTTCCGAGAGTCTCAGGATGGTGTTGAGTTCTGAATTACTTTAAAGTGTCTCGGGGTGGAATTAAGTTCTGTATGTGTTACTTTTGAGTGGGGATGGTATTGAGGTCTAAGTGACTTTTGAGAGATGGGTTCAGGTTTCCAGGTGAAACGGCATCACCAAGATCTACTGGGGTTCTTTTTGTTTTGGTTTTTTTTTTTTTGGCCACACCCAGCAATGCTCAGAGTGTATACCCGGCCCTGCCCTCAGCGATCACGCCTGATGGTCCTCAGGACATCTTATGGGATGCCAGGGATCAAACTCTTGTGGGCCGACTGGAAGGCAAACGCCCTACCCGCTGTTCTCTGTCTCTCTGTCTCTCTCTCTCTCTCTCTCTCTCTCTCTGACCCCCTCTACCAGGGTTGATACTTGGGCTTCTCCGTAATTGTCTTTTTGTCCTTATGTGTTCTGTGTATATGCTTTACTCAAAGTCGACTATGGTAGAAGCCTAAAACTTTGGCCTCCATCCATTCTTTTGTATCTGTTAAAGATCTGCCAGGTGCCCCTCACTATTCTAGTGCTGATTTGATAGTATTTAGTCAAGCAGCCTCCTTGTCCTCACAGAGCTTTACATTCTTACGGTAAAGGGGTTCATTTCTGAGTAAACAAATCAGTGATACAACTTCATGTGATAAGGACTAGGAATGAAAATAAAGGGCTAGAGAGTTACCCAAGTGCTGGGTTTAGACAAAGGTCAGAAAATAGCTCTCAGGTGGTGTCATTCAGCAGAAACATGAATGCTAGCAAGCAGTCACTAAAATGGGCAGTTATTTCCATTAAAGCACTTGAGGGGGAAAAATATAAGCAGAATATTTTGTGACAAAGGCAATAACAAATGGAAATAATCCTGATATGACTTTCTTTAAGAAATGGTGTGAAGACTGGAGGAACTGTAAACATGGTGAGTGCAAAGAATGGGATGAATTTATGTACACTAGCTATATGCTAGGCAATTGCTAAAGAGGCATGAAAGAAGTAGTTCTGCTGGAACGTTACTAGTGGGCTAAGTGACTAGATCAGTGCAATACAGTAATAGATGTTGCAGTGGTGGTACACAGGATCTGTGGGAATGTGGATGGGTACCAACTAATCCAAACTGGGAAGTTATGGAGCAGGTCCAGTTACCTAAGGAGCAGCTGTCTTTATCAATCAGGTTTGTGCCAAGTGGTTCGTGGACTTTTGTTGTTGTTGTTGTTTAGTTGATTGTTTTGTTTGTTTTTTTATACTTGTAAGGTTAAATTAACTTTTAAATTTAATACTTATAACAACTGTACCAGGGAGATAGTCTTTGGTGGTTGTTTTTTGAGCCACACTAGGCCTGTGGGCTCCTCCAGGCAAAGTGTCGGGTCACTTCTGAAGCTGTTAGGACTATGCAGCCCTGGAGATGAACTTGGGCTTCCTGCATTCAGTGCACGTACTCCAATCCTTGAAGCTTTCTCCCCAACCCCCAAGTGGACAGAAAGTAGGGTGCTTACTTACATGTAGCCAGTCCGGGTTCAGTCCCTGGTATCTGAGCACAGAACCAGGAATGCACCCTGAGCACAGCTGGGTGTGAACTCCATCCCCCCCCCCCCAAAAAAAAAAAACCCAAGTAAATAGTCTTTTGATCTGTCATTTCAAATACGATAACTGGAGTTCTTTGCGGGGGGATGGGGCAAAAATGCCACACCCAGGAGTGCTCAGCGGTTATGCCAAGCTCTGCACTCAGGAATTACTATTGGCAGTGCTTGGGGGACCAGTGGGATGCCGGGGATCAAACCTGGGTCAGCCAAATACCCCTCTTGCCCCACAAAGTATCACTGTCACTGTCACTGTCCTCCCCTTGTTCATCGATTTGCTCAAGTGGACCCAGTAACATTGTGAGACTTGTTACTGTGTTCGGCATATTACATACATCATGGGTAGCATGCCAGGCTTTGCCATGCGGGCGAGATACTCTCGGTAGCTTGCTGGGCTCTTCCAGAGGGGCAGAAGAATCGAACTCGGGTTGGCCATGTTGGCTGCATGCAAGGCAAACGCCCTGCCTGCTATGCTATTGCTCCAGCCCCACACAAAGTATATTTTGTAATAAAGTGGTGACTATCTTATGAAACTATTAAATGCTGTATTAAAAGTAAAAATGGGGCTGGAGTGATAGCACAGCGGGTAGGGCATTTGCCTTGAACGCGGTCGACCCAGGTTCGATTCCCAGAATCCCATATGGTCCTCCGAGCATCGCTAGGAGTGATTCCTGAATGCATGCGCCAGGAGTAACCCCTGTGCATCACCAGGTGTGACCCAAAAAACCAAAAAAAAAAAAAAAAAAGAAGAAGAAAATAAAAACAGATCTATAGAGTATGGTAGGATTTTTTAAATGTTTTTAAGTCTAACAGGTTTATATCAGTTTTGAGGAGGTGAGGGATGGGGGAGAGCACTTTTTCAAAGTGGAGAGGGAACCCCAGTACACATCCCAATATTGATTGTGCAAGTACAGTTCTCAAGAGAGGAGATGGGGTGACACATGTGCTTGGCAGCAACACATAGGCTCAGGTAACTTAAGCACCACATTTATCATTTCTTTAAAAAACTATTTATACTGGATCATTGTATAACTGAAACCCAAGCACAAAAATTTATAAGTCTACAACTGTACCTCATGGTGTTTCACTAATGAAATTTTTAAAAAAAGCTATTTAAGTTATGGTTTTAGTAATTGGTTAGAGTATTGGTAGTTTACCCTTTAGATCATTTAGTAAATTAGTGGCCCAGCATTGTGATAGAGTATCATACATACTGCAACTGCTTGGAAAGACTTTTATTAGATTTCTTTTAAATGTCTATTTCTTTTGTGCCATTATAGAGTTGAAAAGTCACTAATTAAACTTCAGACCATTGTTAAGTGGGACACTGTATATTTGACTGTCTGTCCTGAAAGAGTGTAAATTATCTCTGTTTCTAGTCTCTTCCTGCTAAGTGCTGTGTCTGCACCCAGGGAATCAGTAAATAAATGAGAGCTAATTCATATGATCAATAAGCATTTTTTAATACAGCTTGTTGAAATATGCTTACTAGCAAAGGGATCATAAAAGAACCTTAACTTTTCCTTTAAACATATTCATCTACAGGAATTCTTTTGTGATACTTTGGAGTAGCTCTATAATTATACTGATCATACTTAAAAGTTAAGAACATTTTAGTAAAGAAAGCTGCTTTGATTAAAGAATAGCAAATTACAGCTTCAGAGATTCTGCTTTGAATCTTTGACCTCTAAAATTTTAAATTGGGTTCTGAACTAGATAACCATAGGGAAAGATACTTAAAGTAAGAAATATAAGCCAGGACACTATGAGAAACATATTGAACAGTTGATTCCTAAGTACTTGACGGTGAACTGTGAGGGCCCATAGGGTACAGGATTAGGGCACAGACCTAGCTTGGCTTGAGTGCAGCGTGTGACCTCCCAAGCATTGTTGAGTGTAGTTTTGAAGTCCCTCCCCCTACCAACTTTTAGGATGAATAATCACTGCAGAAATATCCCCTGACTGGTTGTTTCAGTACCTCCAGGAGTGACCCCTGGCATCCTGGGCACACGTTAGGAGTCCTGCTCACTCCTCCAAAAAGGAAAGTTGGAGGCATAAAACCCTGTAGTTTAAGTATCTTCTTATTACTTTATTTGGATACCATTTGCTGTCATCCTATCATTGAACTGTGCTTGCTTGTACTCCCTTTTTTTTTTTTTATTTTGGTGAGGGGTGCTGCAGGTGGTGGACCTGATCGTGCTTGGGAATGACTTAAAATACTAGGGATTTGAATTGGTGCCCATACACTTGTAAGGCAGGTGCTCTAAGCTTTGAATTATTTCTCTGTGCCCATGAGTATTCATTTCTTTCTAAGCAAAATAAATTGATACTGAAAATTACTATAAATCGTTGACATTTTTGCTTTATTTGCTCAAAGGAAAATGTATTAAGGAAAATAGTCTCTCGAGTCAAATTGCAGTAATCTAATTAAATATGAAAGTTTTTCTTTTAATTCTTTTATTGTCTTTGCTTATAGCTTTTTACCTGCACCAACTCAGCTCTCTCAGGACCAGCTTGAGGCTGAAGAAAAGGCAAGATCCCAGCGGTCACGACAGACCTCACTGGTTTCCTCCCGAAGGGAACCTCCACCATACGGGTACAGGAAAGGTTGGATACCTCGGTTATTAGAGGTAAATATGAGTCTTCAGTTTGAATTTGTTGTGTTGAAATTTGTTGTAATACCCTTCTAGAATAAAGTTAAGCCCTAGGATTTTGGGAAGTGAATGTCAGTTATGGTAGAAATTGGGTGATGAGTGCTTAAGACACATACTCCTCAGAAGACTGATCTTTCTGTTTTGTTTTGTTTTGTTTTGTTTTGTTTTGTTGGCTGCAGGGGTAAGCAGTGCCAGACATTGAACCTGGCCTCTTACACATGCAAAGCATGCACTTAGCCCTTGAGCTATCTCTAGCTCAGTCTTTTCTCGTCATGCTGTGAGCATTGAAAAAATTGTACCAAGCTTTTGCCTTTTTTTTCATTTTCATACATGTACAAAATTGGATCTAATATTTATTAATCCAGGGCATATGAATTAATCCATACAGCATATGGAAATCCATATTAGTCCATATAGAATATGGAAAATTATGGAGGAAAGAAGAAAATGTAAAGATTATTATGTTGAGATGCCTTTTCTCTCCTCCTCCCTAAATTGCTTTTTATCATAGTTAAGTTACTACTTATATATGTGGAACTACCCTTCACAGCCAACCCATCTCCCACCACCCCCCCCCCCCAGGAAAATCTTTATCTTTTCTTCATTTGGACATGTTAATACACATCTGATAAATATGAACTTTTTTGGATCTATAGAGATGCATTTGTGGTCTGCTATGTGCAAGGCAAGCGTTCTTTGCACGGTATAATTGCTCCTGCCCTATTGGCATTGATTTTACGTATACATTGTGAAAAGCAGAGCAAATTAAAGGTTATGAAGGAGATTATAATGCCCCCCTTTTTGGCACAGAAAGATGGTGATTGGTATTATCTAATAGAGGAATTGAGTGTCTCTTTGAAGGAATATGTTCCCTTGACCTCGATAAATTATAGAGTGGGGGAGGCAGCCATTATTTTAAAGTAGAATAGAAATTGCGTTCTTGCTTCCGTTTTTTTCTCTGCATTATAAAATACAATGCTCTTAGTTTTTTTTTTTTTTGTCACACTTGACTATGAAAGACTTCATATCTTGATGGAGCAGAATGGCTTATTTGAAAATCAAGGCAAAATGGCTAGCTGTTCTGGAAATACCATATCATGAATGCTTTTTGTGGGAAAGGACTGTTCTCTAGAAGAAAACGTTTGTTCTAGTTTTCAGAGTAAAAGCTATGATTTTTCTGGCAAACTTAATGACCACATCCACAGTTCTGAAGCACTTATTATAAGTTGGAAAACCCTAGCAAATTTGAACATGTGTCAGATTGATGACTTAGGTACAGGTAGTACCTTTCTTGGAAGTGCTTTAACAGTTTTTTCCTGATTTATAAGAAATTATCTCCCTCAGCTTTATTGTTTGTTTAAAGAAAGTCAAACCTTCCTCAAGAAGTAAGCATATAACTGGAGTAAGCTTAGTGCAGGTGTTTAGGCATTTCAGTTGTCTTGCACATGGCCAGCTTCAATTTGGTACCCAGGCACCACATGATGCAGAAATATCCCTGAGCACTGTCAAGTGTGGCCCACAAGAAAAAAAGAGAGAGATTCTTATTATACCGAATAAAACATATATCCAGAATCTAATAAAATATTTTGGCGGTCTTATTAAAGTGGTTATTTTAAAATTTTTTCATCAACCCTCCCAAATGATTTATTTTAATATATTTTTCTACATTTCTTAGTACTGATTTGCCCTTTTGACCTAAAAGATACTCTAGTAGAAACCTTTTTTTAAAAAAAAAGTATTTATTGAATCACCATAAGATTCAAAGCTACACAGTTGTTCATGATTGAGATTCAGTCTTACAGTGTTGGATCACCCATCCTTCACCAGTGTTACTGCCCTCCGTCAATGTCCACCAGTTTCCCTCATGCCCCCCAACCCCAGCCTGACTCTGTGGCAGATCCTTTGCTTTTTTCCTTTGAGGCACTTGGCTTGCAATACTTTACTCAAAGGGTATAGTGCATATCACTTTACCTCCATTCAGCTCCCAGTTTTTGCCCAGAGTGACCACTTCTACCATTCTCTTACTGTTCCCTTCTCTGACCTAACCACCCTCCCCACAATTACGGCATGCTTTCTACTAAGGACCAGTCCTCCTGGCCTTCATTTCTATTTGTGGGTATTATTCTTCTACCGTGTTTATATTTCACAAATGTGTGTGATCATCCTGTCTGTCCCTCTCTCTCTCTGATTCAAGTCATTCAGCTTGATACTCTGCATGTTCATCCATGTTCTAGCAAATTTCATGACTTCATATTTTTTCTAATGGTTCCATAGTGTTCCATTCTGTAGATATACCATAGTTTCTTTATCCACTTGTCTGTTTTTGGGCAGTTGGGTGTTTACAAATTTTGGCTATTGTGAATTGTGCTCACATGTGAGTTTTTTTTTGAGTTCTGGATTATTTTTGTTTGTTTTGTTTTGGGGCCACACCTGGTCATGCTTAGGGATTACTCCTGACCTTGAACTCTAGAATCTCTCCTGGCAGACTCATGGGACCATATGGGATGCCAGGGATCAAGCCTGGGTCAGCCATGCACAAGGCAAGCTCCCTACCTCTTGTACTGTCGCTCTAGCCCCTAGAGCTAGATTCCCAAACCGTGAAATACAGAAAAGAGAACATAGAACACTCTGTAGAACCTCAACCTCAGAGAAGTAAATGGGAGATTCAGCTCCATTGGTAGGGGAAACAAAAGCACAAATAAAATAAATGACACTCCATCAAATAAAAAAACTTATTTAGTAAAAGAAACAACCACAAAAACAAAACAGAAAAAGAAAATCTAGCAGTTGGGAAGAGATTTTTGTACATTGTACATTTGACAAGGAGTTGGCATCCAGAATATATAAAGACACGTACAACTCAATAACAACAAAGCAAGCAACTTTAAAAAAGGGCGGGGGTTGGGGGGGACCTGAATAGACATCCCTCAAGAAGACATACAAAATGACCCAATGCCAGAAAAAAGTGTTAGCATCAGGTACTGTTAGGGAAACACAAATCAAAATACCACCTCACAATTGTGAAAATGCCCTATATCAAAAATATCAGAGATAACAAACATTGGGGAGGATGTAGGATGAGAGAAGAAATTCTGGGCTGGAGTAGTAGTACAACAGGTAGGACGCTTGCCTTACACCCAACCGACCAAGGTTGGATCCCGTGCATCCCATATGATCTCCTGCACTCACAAGCAGTGATCCTGGATTGCAGAGCTCAGGAGTAAGCCCACCTTCTTCCTCCACCCCGACCCCAAATAAAAGGAGTCATAATATCAATTCAGTGTACATTGAGGCAGCTATAGAAAGAGTGGAGATTCCTTTAAAAAAGTTTTTTTCTTAAAGGAAATACCATATAATCCAGTGAGATACCATTCCTAAGGCATTTATCCAAAGGATATGAAAACACCCATTTGAAAAGCTATAAAGCTGAAACATGGAATCAACCCAGATAACTGAATGAGAAAAGGATGTGTGTGCATATAAAATGGAATAATTCCCTATTGTTGAGGGAATGAAATTGTGCCTTTGGGGGCTAGATAAATAATACAGTGGATCAGATGCTTGTGTTGCATGCAGGCGATGACCTGGGATCAATTTCTTCACCAATGTAACATCCCCTGAACACTGCCAGGTGTAATCCCTTAGTGCAGAGCCTGGAATAAGTCCTGAGCACAGTGTGTTCCAAGCTGCTACCACTCTTGACTCTCATTTCTTCAAAAGCAAGCTCAGGTGTTTTCATTAGTCTAGAAGATGCTTCCCTTGGATTGTCTGATGACTGGTTTCTCATCATTCAGTCTTCAGCTCCTTAACTCAAAATCCACCTCAGAGATAGTATCAAACTTAGTCCCCATTCCCATTATTATTTTTATTACAAGTCCAAAATTACTCTTTTTTTGATCTTTATTCACTGGAATGTGGATGCCACAAGATCCAGGATCACCATTTACTTGCAATATTTCTTGTATTTAGCATAAGAAAAGCTCAATGATTTGTTAAAAGAAAGCTCTGAATATCAAGATGATTTTTTGTTTTATCTTTTTATTTTTTAATATCTGTATCTGTGTATGTATGTATGTAGGATTTTGGAGATGGAGGTGCTTTTCCAGAGATCCATGTGGCCCAGTATCCACTGGATATGGGACGGAAGAAAAAAATGTCAAATGCTCTGGCCATTCAGGTGGATGCTGAAGGGAAAATCAAGTACGATGCAATCGCTCGACAAGGACAGTCAAAAGACAAGGTATCTTGCTCATTGATTTCCTCTTTTCTCAGTATTTAAGATGTGTTTCTTGTTGTTACCTCTCTCTTCTCTCCCTTCTTTGTTGTTGTAGTGTCACTGTTTTGATGGCTAGGGTGGCACACATGCCTGGCTGGTATTCACACATTTTCAGCTATCACAGTCATCACACATCAGGCTGCAGTGCTCGCACATGTGCTTGCAGGCGGCCACCCTTCGTAACTCTTAGCTGAGACGCACGGGTGATGGCACTTGCAGTGGACTCTCTGGTCTCACGGAAGTGCGTGCCAGCAGTTGCCCTTTCTAGCCATGGCATTTTCACTTCCTTTTAGTTGTGGCGCTTACTGGGAGTCATGTTAACGTGCAGCTGGTTGCAGTCAGTCAGATCACTGGTTGTGCCAAGGATCACAGGGAGCAGAGCTGCCCAGACTCTCCTCGACAGTTGGAGGTCACAAGGGCTTTCGACTCACGGCCAAATGCTTGCAAGGCAGGCGCTGTTCTTCAGCGCTGTTCTTGTTATTGTTAATTGTGTGGAAGTGAAAAGTCTCTAATCATTTACTTTATGGGAAGGGTAGCAGGATACTTAGGCTAACTGAAGTTAATGACTTCAGAAGTCACCAAATTAATAGCTTGTGTACTTAGAGTTTTATTTACTTGCTCGCTCACACTCTCTCTCTCTCTCTCTCTCTCTCTCTCTATATATATATATATATATATATAAAACAATTATTTGGGGGCCAGGAATAGAACTTAAAGGATCTGGAGCACATGCTTTGCATACAGAAGACGGGTTCCATCCCAAGTACTGATCTGGAAATAGGTCCCAAGGTCCATCAAGTGTATCCCTAAAACAAATGTAGAAAATAATTATTATATAGTACTGATTTTTTATTTTGGGGTTTTATTTTGAGCTACACCTGGTGAAGCTCGTGGGTTACTCTTGGCTCTGTGCTCAGGAATTATTCCTGGTGGTGATCAGGGGATGCCAGAGATGGAACCTGGGGACGCTTACTATTGCTCCAGTACTGATATTTTTAAATGCTAGCAAAATTTTCCAGATCTACAATCGTCCAGAGGTAATACGGAGGTAATATAGTGGTCTGGATGCATTCCCAACATGCACCTTATTTGGATTCCAATTCCACCAATCCTGGAGGCCCAGGCACTGCCAGGTATAGTCCTGGGGGTCCCTAATGCTGCCAGGTAAAACCCTGAAGGCCCCCTGAGCAACATCACATCCTCAGGTCCTTGCACTGAATGGCTTGCCCTGTTGACCAGGAATGGTGGGGTTACCCAGGACTAATTGAGCACTGCTTGGGAGACCTCCCAGAAAGTAAAGCCTACAACTCAACAGCCTGTCACTGTCGCTGTCCTCCGTTGTTCATCGATTTGCTCGAGCAGGCCCAGTAACTTCTCCATTGTGAGACTTGTTACTGTGTTTGGCATATCGAATACGTCACGGGTAGCTTGCCAGGCTCTGCCATGGGGGCGAGATAGTCTCCGTAGCTTGCCGGACTCTCTAAGAGGGTCAGAGGAATGGAACCCGGAGGTCGGCTGCATGCAAGGCAAATGCCCTACCCACTGTGCTATCGCTCCAGCCCCTCAATACCCAAAGAAAATAAAAATTTAGTTCTGTCAATAGTTTTTTCTAGTTCTCCTTCATATAGCTACAGAGTGCTTCCACAAATAATTATTTTAATTAATAATATTTAAAAATTAAGTTCATTTTGAATATAATGCTTCTTTCCTGTTGTAAGTGCAAAGATGGCACTATCCAATTTAGAGTTAGGCCTATAATTTAACCTAACTTAGGCCTACAGTGTAACCCAGAACTTATTAAAAGTTGATGTAAAATAATCTTACTACAGAGCAGTTACTCTTGGAACCAAGAAGCTATTTTTGAGACCTAGTTTTCTTTCTTACAAGTGAATGCTCCAAACAGAAGTACACGGTCCCTTTAGAACTGAAGAAGCAGGCCAGGGAGAGAGTATAGTGGGTAGGGCACCTGCCAAGCACTCAGCAATCTCCATCTGCTTCCCTGTGTGTGCACTGCCAGGAATGATCCCTGAGTACAGCGGGTGTGACCCAGAAATGAAAGAAAAGGAAAGGTGGGAAACGGAACTGAAGAGTACTTGAGTGTTGAATACCTATTCTTTGTCCATCTCCTCCAAACATTTTAATTTTATTCTGTCTCCCAAATATTTTCTAAATAGCACAGATGGTAACCCATTCTGTCTTTACTCCTATATCGTGGCTGCTAAATTTTGGAGGTAACAGTTACACAGTTTCTGTGGGGTTTTTGTTTGGTTTTGTTTGGGGTTTTTTTGTTTTTAGGCCACACTGGGGCTCAGGGCTTAATTCTTGGCTCTCCCTTCAGAGATCATTCCTGACGGGTGCTCAGGATGCCAGGCACAGAACCCAAGTCAGCTGCGTGCAAGTCAAGCACCCTGCCTGCTGTACTCTCTCCCGACCCACAGTTAAACAGTTTATATCTCAGGCTGTAACTGGTTTGTTTTGTTTTCCTTTTCATGCCTTCTGTACTAATGTACTTATACTCTTCTGTGTCTTCAGCTGGGTTACATTTCACTAACTCAGACATTTTGTGCACAGGTCTGTTTATGACACTTGCACTTGTTATTGATGTTATTGACTAAATATGTGAAATCAAATGAAAACAAAATATTCTTCATCGTTGAAGGTTGGTTAGATTCCTCACAGGACTAGAGCATACTTCATCTGCGTTAGTCCCTGGTTCAGTCCCTAGCACCACATGGTCCACGGATCACCACTGTGTGTGGCCCCCAGAGCCCTATTTCACAGGCAGATTATTGCTTTATCTTGCCACAAAGCTTATTTATGCATTTAGTACCTTCAAGAGTCATAGTGTATTTTTCATATAATTCTCCTTGACTCTTTAGCTTTCTGGGATGTATTTCTTCACATTTGCTTCTCAAGCAGCAAAAATTTGGTGTTTTATGGTTACTTGCCATAGAGGAATCTTGCTCTTCAGATGTCCTTCACTCAAGCTTTCCGAGAGGCTAGGATCTTACTGATGCTCATTTAAAGGGTTATTAACTTTGGAGTACCCAAATAAGCAGCAGCAAATGGCTCTCGTATGCTAAATGAGTACTGAGACTCTATGTTGAGCACATATGACTACCAGGGTGCCATTTACTTAGCATTCCTTTCTGCAACGATTGCTGTGTAAAAGTAATTAACTCTTCATTGTCTTGGTTCATTTTCTAGAGTATTGTCATGTAATTTAAATTTTTGTAGATGTTTTCATCTTGAAAAGAAATAAAAATTTTGCAATCAAAAATAAATTATAGGGGCTGGAACAATAGCACAGCGTGTAGGGCGTTCGCCTTGCACGCGGCCAATGCAGGTTCGATTCCCAGCATCCAATATGGTACCCCAAGTACCGCCAGGAGTAATTCCTGAGTGCAAAGCCAGGAGTAACCCCTGTACATTGCCAGATGTGACCCCCCCAAAAAAAAGATAAGCCATGAAACCTTGCACTGAGCCTTGTCTTCTCACTTTTGGAAGCTTTAGGATCCCTTCCAAAATGAGTCCCAAGGCTTGCTTTGTCAAGCCCCTGTTTTTCCTTGAACACATACCTCGCTTGCTTGGCTCAGTGTTTCTTTGCTTGCCTATTTCCACTCTGGAGAAACCTATATGCTCTCTCAAACATGAATTTTTCTCTTTCTCTATCCTCACATCTTTCTAAATAAGTTTCAATAAAATAAATCACCATCTTGCTTCGGGGCTGGCTGTCGAGATAGTTCAGCGGGTGGGACACTTACTTGCCTTGCTCGTGGCCCACCTGGATTCAATCTCCAGCACCCCATGTGGTTTCCCCAAGCTCACCAAGAGTAGTTTTTGAGTGCAAAGCCAAGAGTAGCCCCTGAGCACCACCACGCTTGTCCCCAAAACAAGCTATCTTGCTTCACCAAAAGAACACCGAGGGGATGGTGACATTAATAGCTCACAAATAAATCAGTAGTGCACCTTTTGTTGTAAATTGCCTCCGCTTTCTTACTTGATCCCTTTTCTTATTCCTGAGAAGAAACAAGCTAGAGATACCAGTGTACAGCCAAGAGAAGTGTTTTTCTGGAAGCAAAAAGCTTATGTAAAATATTCCTTGGGGACTAAAATGTAAGCATTTTTAGTATGCAATAGAGCATATCTAAAATTCATTTATTTGTACAGAACATTTTTATTGAATACCTCCTGTGGGAGTCATTGATAGGCACACTAAAACACTTTGATGAATTAATGATTCCTCATCAGCTTTAATCCTGAGACATAATCTTTCTTTGCATACTACATAGGGTTGATCTGAAGGTTAAATGAGCTGACATTTATAAGGAAAAGGACACTGACACAAAATTTAAGAAGTGGCTGCTATTGTACTTGATATTCTTTAGTGGGGAGACAGGAAGTGGAAAAGTAAGTAGTACTGTGAGCAGTGCTCAGCAGAGTATAAGTAGAGTACGGTATGAGTGACTGGGGCCAGGTGGCTGCCAGGTATCAGGAGGCCTTCCACTGTGCACAACCCACTTGGAGGACCCCCAACAGTTCTGTAAAGACCCAGGATTGGGGGATATATGTAGTGTCAAGAAAAGTGAAAGCAGAGCGGCCAGAGCCAAGGTACGCAGGTAGGGTGCTTGCCTTGCACACAGCTGACCTGGATTTGATATCCAGCACCACATACTCCCCCAAGGACCACCAGGAGTGATCCCTGAGTGCAGAATCAGGAATAAACCCTGAGCACTGCTGGATGTGGCCCAGCCAGGATTGAACATGGGTCAGCCACGTGCAAGGCAAATGCCCTATACTATGGCTTCGGCCCCATTATGCATAGAATTTTGTTGCATAATATATTTGGATTTTAGTAATTTGAATGCATATGGGCGAAGAAAAATTACTATAATTTCATAGCCAGGACAGCAATTTGTGTGTATATTTCAAGCTTTTAGAAATATGAATGAGGGGCTGGGGCAATTGTACAGCAGGTAGGGCATTTGCCTTGCATGTGATCCCAGCATCCCATATGGTCCCTTTAGAACTAACTCCTAAGTGCAGAGCCAGGAGTAACCCCTCAGTATCACCGGGTGTGACCCCCAAAAAGAAGGGGGGAAAAAAACAAAACCTGTGTCCTAAATTGATAAACATGCTTGAAAGGACATGTTGTCTTGTGGAATGACTGATTGGTTGAGTTTCTTTTCATTGTCTGCTTTTCCTCAATCTACTTGTATTTTAACATTTTAGGTTATTTATAGCAAATACAGTGACCTGGTTCCCAAAGAAGTCATGAATGCAGATGACCCAGACCTGCAAAGACCCGATGAGGAAGCCATTAAAGAGGTCAGTGGAAATTGATTTTTATATGTGATTATTTTAGACGACTTTTCCATGCTTGTTAATTCACTCATTGTGGTGATTTCTTGTTTCAGATAACAGAAAAGACCAGAGTAGCCTTAGAGAAATCTGTGTCTCAGAAGGTGGCTGCAGCCATGCCTGTTCGAGCGGCTGATAAGCTGGCTCCTGCTCAGTATATCCGGTAGGAATTGTGCCTGGGAGTCTTGGTATCATGTTGAACATGATTGGGGGGTGGTGATTCTACTTTGTGTTTTGGTTTTTTCCCCCATTATTCTCCTTAATCACAAATGCAGTTTGAAGTTTTGCTTGTTTTTATAGGGGCCACACAGAGCAGTCTGCTTGGAAGGTTGTGTTTGCGGTGCGGTGCTGGGTGCTTGCAAGTACTAAGCATGTGCTCTACCTCTTGAACCACAGCCCAGGCTTCTTAAGATAGCCATTTTTGTTTCTTTGAGGGCCACACTTGGTGGTGTTTGGGGACTAGTCCCATTGCGTTCGAAGGACTCTGCAGTGCCAGGAATTGAACCTGGGCCTCCTGCATGCTGAGTCTGTGCTCAGCCTTCTGAGCCATCTCCTTGGTCCAAGACAGCCATTTTTAAGATTTTAGCTTATTTGGGACTGGAGCAATAGTACAGCAGGTAGGGTTAGCCTTACATGCTGCTGACCCAGGTTCGATCCCCAGCATCCCATATGGTTCCCTGAGCACCGCCAGAAGTAATTCCTGAGTGCAGAGCCAGAGAATCTCTAGGTGTACCTCAGAAAGCCCCCCCCCCCAAAAATTACCTTATTATATCCAAAATATATTTTTGTTTATGGAAATTAATGTGGAATATGATCTATCCCACAATTATTTATAGCTTTACATTTATACATAATAGACTTTATAATATGTTGTTTTCATAAGTGGCGTTAATATATTTAGTAAGCTGTTATGGGCTGGAGCGGTAGCACAGCGGGTAGGGCATTTGCCTTCCACGCAGCCAACATTGCCAGCCCAAGTTCGGTTCCTCCTCCCCTCTCGGAGTGCCCGGCAAGCTACTGAGAGTGTCTTGCCCGCACGGCAAAGCCTGGCAAGCTCCCCGTGATGTATTTGATATGCCAAACACAGTAATAAGTCTCACAATGAAGACGTTACTGGGTTTGCTTGAGCAAACCGATGAACAACAGGAGGACAGTGACAGTGGCAGTGACAGTATGCTGTTATGATTGTATGCTATTTAAATATAATTTATGTTATAATGATAAACATTATTATAATAACTTTTAGAAAGGAAAAATGCAGAATTGATGCCATTATTCTTTTTCTGAGTTATAGCCTATGATTAGTGCAAAGCTATTCACTTTAAGTTACCTCTTGACAATATTTTGGGGCATTTTTTCCCTCAAATGTCAACTTAAAAATAGTACTGTTTTATAGAACTCTTATCTCTGAAGTTGAACTTGGCCTTCTGTGGTGGAAAACAGGGATGCATTGTTGCAAACTAGTTTACATTTTGCTGGTGATTATCAGTTGTTATTTACTCTAATCTCTTATAATCTCTGTCTAAACATTTTTCAGTTTTCTCTTAAATCCTTGTGAAAGGAATTGAAACTATAGACAAGATTAGAAATAGAATAAAGTAAAATACCTGTTGGGCGTATGAACTCGTCACATCTTTAGTTTTATCTGTACTCTCCAGATATACTCCATCTCAACAAGGGGTGGCTTTCAACTCTGGAGCTAAACAGAGGGTTATTCGCATGGTGGAAATGCAGAAAGATCCCATGGAGCCTCCAAGATTCAAGTAAGTTTGTGGTTTCCTGAAAATAAACCTTCTTTAAAAAAAAAAAAGAAAAAAACACATCAGGGCCTGAGTGTGGGTAATATAGTGCATAGGGCACTTGGCATTGCACACTGCCATCATCCCTGGCACCTCATATGGTTCCCTGAGCACTGGGTATGTCCCCAAAAAATCGGTGGGGGGAAAAGGAAGAAAAATTGTCCGATTTGTCTCTCAGTAGATTACTGATAAGTTATGGTTTATCTATGCATGGAATTCTATGAGCAGTAAAAAAAAAATAAGCTATTAGTAAATGCAGTAATATGGGTGAATCTTTTATGCTGAAAGAATCAAGACAAAAACACGCTTAGTACAGTATAATTCCATTTACATAAAACTCCAGAAAATCAGACTAATGTAGTGATAGAAGAAGGTCAGTGGTTACCTATGGGAAAGTACAAGAAGACAGAGTTGATGAGAAGAGCAAGGAGGGCAGGCGAGAGACATGCAGAAGCTTTGGGTGGTACATGGCAGATAACTTCATCAGTTGTCGTGATGGCTTCACAGGTGTATGCCTGTATTGAAACTTAAATAGTAACCTTGATACTTAGCATGACAGTTGTACCTTAAAAATAGGATTTTTAGAAAGAAAAAGTATATTACAGTATACAATGACTGATACTTTCAAAGTAATTAGTAGGTAGTGAGGCCAACAAGATCGACTGTTTCAGTAATTCTTGTTTATATTTGCTGCACGTCATACATGCATGCTACATTCTTGTATGTCCTGTGTATATGGTCACTATTTACTTGATGAAGTAATTAAAAGGAGAAAAATATATGTATGTATGTTAATATGTATATCTACTTTGACTTATCTTCAGAATTAATAAGAAAATTCCTCGGGGACCACCTTCTCCTCCTGCACCTGTTATGCATTCTCCTAGCCGGAAGGTAATGTTTAGTATAGTCTGGAATCTATTTTTGTACAAATCATTACTGATTTTCTAAGTAACCGCTCAAAGAATTAAAGTCGATATTTTATAGTAGATATATTTCACCACACTTGATATTTTTCTTTTTTTTTTGTTTTTCATTTCATTTTAAAAAGCAAAAAGAGATCCACTCAAGAATATAATGTATTATAGAGTACTTAGGAAAATTTATGTGAAATGTTAAATTTGTTACAATATTATTATTAACCTAACTACTGCTTTTTATAGAATGAACAGAATCTGCTGTTTGAAATGAAGGATGATAATAGTTTTAGGAAATGAGTACATGGGATCATTAGGTCTCTGATAACTGAAGTCGCTTGTTTTTTTTAGGTTTGTTTCATTGCCTAATTAAAAGAACAGATTTTGTTTGTTTTGTATTTTGGTGATAGAAATCAAATCAGAGCATCAGCCTGAACTGTTTTTTAATATCAAGTCATCTCACTTTAAACATGGAGAATACTCATGAATATCTTCAACTATCCAAAATAACTTAAATTTTCATTTTTACTAATAAATTATTAGAATTATCACTATGGGAACAGAAACATAAGCATATAGTGCTATCAAACAAATGGCAATTTGACCTTTGACTAAATCTGTTTCACTTTGTATAGAGCTGTCTTTGAAAAGAAAGACTTAATTTGTGTTTTTAATTAATCACATTGCAAATCTGAAGATGTCTCTTTTTCCACTCTTATTTTTCCAATTCAGATGACTGTTAAGGAACAACAAGAATGGAAGATTCCTCCTTGTATTTCAAACTGGAAAAACGCAAAGGTAATTAAGTTATTATGAAAAACAATTTTTTAACATTAGAACCTACTGGAAAACACCCGGGAAAATATTCCCACCTCATTTCTTTGAATGTTTTTAAAAAGAACATATGTCACATTTTTTGATATAATGTGAATATGAATATGTCAATGCGTGAACATCAGTGTGTCAAGGCGCATAGTCTTTCTAACCAAATAGTTTGAAATAGCTTATTAGTACATAGAGGAGGAATGAGTACAAGTCAAAAGTATGAAAGATAGTCTTTTGAATAACTCATCTACATCTAACATTTATTTCTGAAAGAAATAAGCCATTTCAAATGATACGTGACTAGGCAGCAGATGTTTGGTACATAGTAGGATTTTTGCTTGTTCTTTTGGGTTTTGGGATTTGGGTTTTGGTCCTGGAGGCACAAAACAGTGCTTGAGGGTTGCTCCCCACTTGGTAGTGGGCATTGAACCTGGAGATTCCTCCTATCTTTCCAGCTCTAATCCCTAGTGCTTTAATTTTTTAATTTCATGTTTATGTTTATAACATCCAGAGCTGGAGCGATAGCACAGCGGGGAGGGCATTTGCCTTGCACGAGGCCAACCCAGGTTCAATTCCCAGAATCCCATACGGTCCCCAAGCACTGCCAGGAGTAATTCCTGAGTGCAGAGCCAGGAGGAACCCTTGTGCATCGCTGGGTGTGACCCAAAAAGAAGGAAAAATAAGATAAAAAATAAAAAGTAAAAATCTTTCCTATCTTTGCAAATCACCAAAACTTTCAGGAGCTATAAATGTTGTGAAATAGGTGTCCACTGTTGTCACTTTTCCCAAATCATTTTTCATAATTGTTTTTGATAGATGAAGATTACTTTATTCCAAAAATTAAATATAATTTATTTAAAGCCAGTTATTTACTTACTCTACTACAAAAAGAAGATTGAATGATCTGATTTGGATTGATTATTATATCTGCAATTATGTGGCTTCTTGAGATCATTCTATAATACTTCCTTTTTTGTAAAATGGGAGCTCCCCCCCACAAAAACAGATTAAATTTTTTAAATGACAGATTAAACTACCTGTAAGTACTATCACTTGTTCCACCTTTGATATGACTGTTGTATTCATTATTTGTTGGTCATTTTTACAGTCCACAGTTATCCTTAGTTCCTCATATGAGAATCTATTGTTCTGAAATCTATTTTCTTTGGGCTTTAAAGCCACACTTACCCAAGCTTAGGTATGACAATGGGTACATAACCTAAGCTCTCTGCCTCAGTAACTTCATCTGTCAAAGGGAAACAACAGTAGTACAGTCCAAAAGGCGACAGTGAGGCAAGCCTTAGCTGCAGAGCATACAGTGTTGGCTGTTGCTACTATTGCATTAACTTGAAGAAAGCAAATATAATTTAAAACATTTGAACTAGCTGGCATTTAAATCTTAACTAGGGGGGTGAAGGGGATGCCTTCCAAAGCCGTGCTTAGCAGGCCTGGGGTCCTACTGGCAATCGTTGATCAACCAAACCAGTGGTTTGATGCAGGGTCACACCCACCTGTGCTCAGGGGACCGTGTGGTGCTGAGAATTGAACCCAAGAATTAAACCACTGTTCTATCTCCTGACCCATAAGTCTAAGTTTTAAGAATCTTCTGTTACTCTTTTGTGACTTGTCTGCTGCTGCACTAGGGTTATACAATTCCATTAGACAAACGCCTGGCTGCTGATGGAAGAGGACTGCAGACCGTTCACATCAATGAAAACTTTGCCAAGCTGGCTGAAGCACTGTACATTGCTGATCGGAAGGTTAGTCTGTCATAACTTAATTGTTTAATGCCTTGAACATCTGTAAATTGCTTTTTGTTTTGCTGAGATGTTCTGAATTGTACAGATTACCCTATGGTGTAGCTCGTCTACCTGCACTTAGTTCTAGACTTAAACCCGACTCCAATGATCCAGTTTTTCACATCGTTCCTGAATAACAATTCCCCAAATAAACCCATTTTGTGAAGATTGCTAGCTACTATTCTAAGTTTCATAATTTCCCTCTATTTTAAATGTAGATGTTTCCAAAAGATCAGAGAAAGGCATTCTAATGCTACTGAATGAGTGCTTCAGAAAGTGGTATTCATTCTATCAGCTATTGTTTTAATATATAACCTTGTGAAGGAAGTAGAACTGTATCACACTAAGCAGCCTTTATAAACAATTGTCTCTTGCAGTCATAGGTTAACACTGTCTTGATTGCCTTGATTGATTTTGAAAACAACTCTTATATGCTATTGATGTTGAAAATTATTTCATTGAAATCTTGTTCATTTCATATTCTCAAAAAGCTTTGGTGCAGGGACAGGTTATCATTTTTCTGCCAAGGACTGTTTGGATATGTAACAACTTTGTGGGCCATATACTCTGGGCAAATGGGTCACAGGCATCTGACAAGAACCATGTATGTCTTTGCTCTCATGTACTAGGACTAGGCCACAAAGCCCAAAGAACAGATGTCCCCTACCCTGCTTACTGAGTCACTGCATTATAAAATTGATTTGGGTCACTGGTTTCAACATCTAATGCATTTCCAGAGTAAAAAAGCTAAGTTTGTGATGTCTTTAAGACAAGCTCTGTTTTCATGGACAGGAATTTTTGTTTTAATTAGCAGTTACAAATCAGAATTCTTTATTAACTGCTCTTTTAAAATGGAATTTATTTAATCTGGGAGTTTTAATATCTGACTTTAATAACAGGCTCGTGAAGCTGTGGAAATGCGTGCTCAAGTAGAGAGAAAAATGGCTCAAAAAGAAAAGGAGAAACATGAAGAGAAGCTGAGGGAAATGGCCCAGAAAGCCAGAGAGAGAAGAGCTGGCATCAAAACCCACGTGGAAAAAGGTAGAACATGCCCTTTGCTGAATTGATTTACTTTGTGAACAGTAGGTCTCATTTTAGAAATTCCTTTTTTCACTGCATATAAATTTAGTACACTATATATAAAGTATCTAAATGTAAATTAATATGAAGAGTTTGTTGTTCATGGTCCACACGGGCTTGCTGCATTTTGAAGTCTGCCTGGTGCATATGTCTATTTAAATAATCTATCCTTTCTAAGCTGAAGGTATACATAGTATAGTCAAGAGAAAGAGCTTTGGGGTCAGCCTGTCTGGCTTCAAATCCTATTTCTATGCCAGAAGAGCAGTGTGATCTGGTGTGGGGACCCTAACCTGTTTCCATGATCAGATGAGCAAAGTGGTCTGGGCAACTAACCTAATTGCTCTGTACGCTCTGAGAGAGGAGGTGTCGGTCTATTCTTTGGAAACAGTGCAAATCCGGGTATGACTCAAACCTGGCCCCCCACTAGTGCTTATAGTTCTTTTTTTTTTCTCTCTCTTTTTGGGTCACACCTGGCAATGCACGGGGGTTACTTGTGGCTCATGCACTCAGGAATTGCTCCTGAGCACCATATGGGATGCTGGGAATCAAACCCAGGTCAGCCGCGTGCAAGGCAAACGCCCTACCCACTGTGCTATCACTTAAGACGCATATTTAGCTATTCTTTTTCTGCTGTTTCAGATAGGGCTGACCTTGACTCTGTGCAAGGGGTTGAATCTGGGGTTTCTATATGCAAAGCATGTGTTCCAGCCCATTGAGCATCTTAGTGACCCTCTACAGCTGTTTTGTATAGTTAACATTACTAAATTGACATTATCGGACATCTACCCATCTGTCTTATCTGTCCCTCTATCAGTCTACTACTTTGATGAGGTTCAGTATGCTTTACCTCATACACATTTGCTCTTGGAGTTTTCTAAGGTAAATAAAGAATGTTCTCTTGTTCCAAGTATAAATGGGAAAGTGCGGAAGTAATTCCAGTTCTGTCTGTTGCTTACAGAGGATGGAGAGGCACGCGAGAGAGATGAAATCCGGCATGACAGGCGGAAAGAGAGACAGCATGACCGGAATCTTTCCAGGGCAGCACCTGATAAAAGGTAGGTTCTGGTGCTCACCAACCACCCTTGCCACATGGGCTCATCGTGTGCCCACAGCCAGTTTCCTGGGTGTCTGTTCTGGTGCTCAGCCTATTGGGAAGGCTTCTGGTGGAAGCTTGCATGGCACGGCAGTGATGGTTGAATGAAGAGTCAAAGAGGGGTGGTGTCCACAGGAATTGTGGGGGACATCTAGGGGAAACTTGTAGTTTAAGTTCCATCTGTCTGCGCAACAATCTTTATGTTGGAGGACCTCAGGGCAGGAGGCCTCTTAGGGTCCCCCCATTTTGGGACTCCTATATCAGGAGTCCCTATTTATCTTGGAGAGAAGTGCTTTGGACCTCTGGAGGTGGGGGGCATGCAGGTGGGTATTCTAACTGGACTTTTCCATGTGTGGCAGTCTGAAGAAATATGGGTCTGTGGAGATAGTATAGCGGGAAGGGCACTTGTCAAAGAATGTGAGATCCTGCTGAGATAGAATTAAGTTTGCAATCTGTGTGTGCGTGTGCGTGTGCGTGTGCGTGTGTGTGTGTGTGTGTGTGTGTGTGTGTGTGTGTGTGCACGCGCACATATTATTTTGGCTGGTGGATTCATCTTTGTAGGTGCAAAGTTGTGTGTGTGTGATGAGTGTCTGAGGTCTCTGCATGTGTGGGGTCATGGGCGTGGAGTGTCTGGGGTCCCTCTTCATCCTCTGAGAATATCACTAAAAGATTGAGGCATGGATACAGTACTGGTGTTTGGAGCAAGATCCTGGCTCCTGCTTAGAGAGGAGAGAGTTTTACACTGCCACCCATCCCCAGGCTCACTTTACATCAGGCATCTTGGAGCCTGCCTCTTTCTCCCAGGGCTGCCCCACTGGGTAAGCCAGGGTGGCCTTCACAGGGGTCTGAGATGGGCATAGAATGAAAAAGGAAGATGGCGTTAAGATGAATTTCAGTGAAGAGTGCCTTTATAGAGAGCACGTTAGTCTACTAAGGTTGGTTTTACTTTCAGTCCCTTTCCTCTTTAGTCTGAAAAGTTAATAAATCTGAACTTAATTTCTTTCACTTAACTACTTAGTCTTAAGCAGAAAAATGGTCTGTTGCCCAGAAGCAACATTTTCTTCTGTCACCTGTGGAGTATCTAGAATTGACAGTGATGGGGATGAATAAGAGGAAATTGAGATCATGTTTCTGTAAAGAAAATAGTGGAAGTGCCATATTGCGCTCATACTTTGCATGAGGCAGGCCAGCATTTGATTTCTAGCATACCCCCTCCTCACCACAGCATAGAGTATTCCTGAGTATTGCCAAGTGTGGGCCCCCTTGGCAAGAAATGGGGTGCCAGTGGATAGGACTGTTCTGATTTGTTATGTTCCTAGTTCAAATGGTGGTGAGACATTTGTTATTTACCTATCCTCTAGACAAGAAACAAACCACACTTTTTTGAAGTCCCTTTACATAAAGAATATTGTACTGAGTATAGTAGGATAGAATTATGTTTTATTAGGAATTGCAGAATTTAGGGGCCAAGCGACAGTGTAGCAGGTAGGGTGCTTCCTTGCAATGTGGCTAACCTGGGTTTTATCCATGGCATCCCATGAGCACCACCAGGAGTAATTCCTGAGTGCAGAGCCAAGAGTAACTCCTGAGCATTGCTGGTTCTGGTCCCCCCAAAAAAAGAAATTAAAGAATCTACTTCTCATGACCAGTCTGTTCAAAAGATAAAGCTATAATATAAAGTGGCTTGAGAATATTCGCAAAATTCTCTTGTACAGACTTGTATAAAACAAACTGAATATATGAATGGAGACTTAGAATAAAGTGCAGATTGTCATGAAACAAAAGCTAAAGTTCTGAGAAGCTAAAGAAATGCTATAATGTGGAGGTGGGATTCTGACTTAGATTTAAATACATAGATAAAGCATATTTTTCTAAATAAATTGATTTTCATCTGCCTGTGATCTGATTCAATTCCATTTTTTTCAAATTATTTCTTAAACATAAAATATATAAATATAAGAGGGAATAGGTAGAGCACTTGGCTTGCACACAGCCAACCCCAGGTTCTATCCGTGTGGCACCACGTATGGTTCCCCAAGCCCACCAAGAAAGACCCTTGAGTTCAGAGGCAAATTAAGTCCTGTATACTTCAGTTGTGGCCCAAAGACCAAAATAAAAATAAAGATTCTTACAAAGGTGTTCTTTATTGTCTAATGCATATTTATTTGGTCCCTTTGGAGTTGAAAATAAAATATATGAACTAGGAGTTATGGATAAACCCACAGTATAAAAGAAATTAATGAATTGTGAACATGTGCAATTAATAACAATACTGATCTGAAATTCCTAAGCTGTAAGTCAGAATGTTCCTGTAGACTAATTGGGCCCTTAAGACTAGTTAAGTAGCTATGAGAGATGATAGCAGAAAAGCTGTGAACTTGTGATTGAATGAAGTCAGGTTGTCTATAGAAATCATTTTAAAATTTGAGCTTCTGGTAAAATAAGTAATGATTCTGTTGTGTGTGGGTTGCATTCTACTCTGATAGGAAGGGAATTAATCCAAACATCAAAACATACACTGAATCATCCAGTCATTGACAAGTTTTTCTTGAAATCAAGGAGCGTGGCTTGGGAGGTAGCTCAGAGGGCTGGAGAGCATACAGTAGATCTGGGTTTGATCACATGACACCTCATCAGAGCCCCCGAGCACTGCCAGGTGTGACCTCCAAACCCCCCACAACCTCAAAGAAAAATTCTAGCAGGATAAAAAAAATTACCGAATGCTTGCTTACTGACAGTGATTCATGGGATACATCTAATTTGTATCCAGTCCCCTCCACCACCCTCATAATCACAACTATAGACCGTCGCAGTTTCTTTCGCAGCACGGGTTGTTAGATGATCACAAATATTGAAGTCTTCCAATTCACATATTAGTCATGTGGCAGTTCTTTCAGCTCCCAGGACAGCCCGATTGTAAACCTGCCTCTTCTGACAGTCTTGTACCTGATTATGCATTGTCAAAGACCTTCCGTTCACAAGAGGACTCATTTCCTTTACCTCCGAGATTGGCTGTAAATTGAAATTCAGCTTGTCTTTGTTGAGTTTTCCATTAATGATGTGCATTTCTAAACAGGTCTAAACTTCAGAGAAACGAAAACCGAGATATCAGTGAAGTTATTGCACTCGGTGTGCCCAACCCTCGGACTTCCAATGATGTTCAGTACGACCAGAGGCTCTTCAACCAAACCAAGGTATGAGGAATTTAAAAATAGCATATCTAAGTGTTGACAAGAGTGCCACACCTCAGAGAAAAGAAAATGAATGCTACATATTTGGATCATCCTAAGATGTTCTGCATGACGACAGAAAAATTAGATTTGTGTTAATAGTTTAAAAGGCAGGTAAAATTGGAGACTGAGGAAATGGCTCTGAGGGTGGCATTTATTCAATTCCTGGCACCGCTGAGTCCCTAAATCAGTGCCAGGGGCAGCCCCAGAACACTAAGCACTGTTAGGTGGACCCTAAGGCATTAATTAGGTAATATATAAAGACTGGTGAGATGACAGCCCCACTTTAGACCCTTAAAATTGGCTAAGATTTGAGACACTTATGGAAAAAAAAATACCAAGAAATTTGAATCTGGCGGGTCAGTCTTTGGTTTCTAAAATAGAGCCAGTGTCCCACAAAGATCTTTGGGGGAAAAAATTTTATACTATAAACCACAATAAACTTGGGAATTTTATGTTTTATTTTTATTTATTTTTGGTTTTTGAGTCACCACGTAGTGTTCAGGACTTACTCCTGACTGCACTCAGGGCAGGCTCAGGGACCCTGGGATCAAGCCTGGGTTGGCCTGTGTGGTCACCTAAGCCCAAACCAGGAGATATCCCAAAACACTGATGGGTGCGGCCAAAAAAAAAAAAAAGACAAAAAATACCAGGGATGGGGTTGGAGATAGTATGGCAGCTTGCCAGGAGTGAGCCCTGGGCACAGCCAAGTGTGGCCCAGAAAAAAAACTCAAGGATGGTAATAAACCTAAGTTTGTCCGCTTAGTACAAGTGTGTTTTATCAGGATCTCTTTTAATATACAGTTGGTTGTTAAAAATGTGAGCTGTAACTGAGTAAGAATTTATCTTGAGCATCATCACTTTTTAATAATACATTTTTATTTAATGCCACTTTTCCTTCAGGGTATGGACAGTGGTTTTGCAGGAGGAGAAGATGAAATTTACAATGTTTACGACCAAGCATGGAGAGGTGGTAAAGATATGGCCCACAACATTTACAGGCCCAGTAAAAACTTGGACAAGGATATGTATGGTGATGACCTCGAAGCCAGAATAAAGACCAACAGGTACAAACCAGAGCGCACAACTCAGTTTCAGTGTTGCACTAATGAAAATAAAGTAGTTCATAGGACTTTCTCTTCTCTCCTAGATTTGTTCCAGATAAGGAGTTTTCTGGTTCAGATCGTAGGCAGCGAGGCCGAGAAGGACCAGTTCAATTTGAAGAAGATCCTTTTGGTTTGGACAAGTTTTTGGAAGAAGCCAAACAACACGGTGGCTCAAAAAGACCTTCAGATAGCAGCCGCCCCAAGGAACATGAGCACGAAGGCAAGAAGAGACGAAAGGAGTAGACGCACCTCTCTGGGAGTGAATGAACTGTGTTACTCAGTGATGTGATGCAAGTCATGTAGGGCAACACTTTATCTATGAGCAACCAGAATAAAAACCAAATCTGGGTGTCAGAACCCAGTGCTACTTTTTATTACGAGAAATGGGGGGTGGAAAACTCTACTTTGAGCTGATTTTTTTTAAAGAATGGGTTGTGTTTGTCCTACCTTTTGGCATTTATAGAACATACTCCCCCCCACCCCATGTGAAATTAAGACCACTTTTTTGTGTGTGTATTAGTACTTTGGGGTTAATATTTTGCACAAGAAAGGCTGCATATTACCCCAACAACAGTGAGAAGGATGTTTATGTATGGGAACAATCCTGCCAAATAACATCTGCCCCTATTACGCTATCTGGATTTGGAGTCAGAGGAAAGTAAGCTCTTGCTTGATGCAGCTATTTGTTTCAAATTAAAAACATTTAGACAAAACTTTCGTTTTCTTTACATTATTTAATATACAGTTACAGTCTCAAAAATCTTTCTCTTCATCGGTTGTTTGATCCGCTTGTAAGTTTTTTGGTCTTCGAACTTGAACATGGAGCTGGGAAAGGGGAAAAAAAGAAAAGATGTTTGCAAGAAGTATTGAAACTGAAAATTGGCACTTGAAGAGAATTTGCTATGTGTTTTTCCTGAATTTCAACTGGAAATTTTAAATCAGGGCCAGAAAGATAGTTCAACAGGCTGGACCGTACACCTTTGCATGCAGGACGCTTGGTTCCATCTCTGGCTTGGAGTCGAAAGCAGTGAGCAGACCAATGTGGCTCCAAAAGTAATAAAAATTGCAGATCTAGGGCTGGACTCAGTACAACCAGAAGGGCATTTGCTTTGCACGCTGCTGACCCAGATCCAATCCCTGGCATCCTGACTGGTCCCTGAGCACCACCAGGAATAAATTTATGATTCAAAATCCAGGAATAACTCCTGAACATCAGAAAAAAAACAAGATTTTAACCCAACTCTACCGTTTGCACTTTTGTTTTCCAAGTAGGATGCACATTTGCCAGTCCTTGGGGGACCATGAGGTAAATAGGGTCAAACTCATCGCCTCATATATCCTATGCTTGGACTCAACCATTTGAACCATATTCCCAGCCTGGATACTGCTCTTCACTTATAAATCATTTTAAAAAATTTATTTACAATTCATTGACAGTTTACAAACTTCACTTACAAATCTCCCAAAGTTGGGACAGAGAGAGTAAGGCACAGGGTTAGAACCATAACAGCAGGCAGGGCACTTGCCTTACATACGCCCGAGGTGGGTTTGATCCGTGGCATCCCAAATGACTCCCTGAGCTCTGCCAGGAATGATCCCTGAGTGTGGAGCCAAGAGTAAGCCCTGAACTTTGCAAGGTGGGACCCAAAAACTAAAAAGAGGCAGAAAGGATAGTACAAGTCCTATATGATACGATAGTACGAGTGTAGGACATTAGATCCCCGACACCTCACATGGCCTCCCTCACCCCAATTTCCTGCAGGAGTGATCCCTGAGCACTTCTCAGTGTGGCCAAAAGAAAAAAAAAAAAAGATCAAGGCACCTAGCATGCAGCTGCAGGGACATCACTAACTGGAATCCCAGCACTGCTTATGGTTCCCTGAGCATCACCAGGTGTTGCTCAACCCTTCCTTCCCCCTACCCCAAATCTCCTAAATTTCTGGTCATTATCTAGAAATAATGTAAAAATATTCACCTTTACTCCATCGATAATATGATTTTCCTGTTGCAGTGCATTATGAAGTTCTTCTTCTGTAGAAAACTGAACCCAGGCCATACCTCTGTGAAAGCCAGTCTCTTTATCCTAAAAATTCAAAATTCAGAGTAAAGATTAATCATGAACTTAAGAATGTTTCCATGAGCTCCCAAACTACCAATTTTTTCATCTGCCAAAATAGGGTGACAAGCATATTCAGTAAATGTTAAAATCCTAGCTTTAAGGACGGAGTGATGGAAGACGCTTGCCTTGCACACAGCTTACGTGGGTGATCAAGTGACTAAAGTTAGCTTATCTGCTGTGACCTCAACATCAAATTTTAGGGGCCTGAGATATAATACAGCAGATGTGGCACTTGCCTTGCACACGACTGACCCAAGTTCGATCCCCCGTCCCCTACATGTTCTCCCAAGCCCACAAGGAGTTAGCCCTTGTGTTAGCCACACACCAGGTGTGACCCAAAACCACCAAAACCCCAAATTTTCAGAAATACCCTATACTCAAAAGATAACTTTGTATGAACCTAATTTTTGGTAATGTGCTGGTGAAGCCCCAGTTCAGATATAACAATTTCTAAAGCATCTCCATGTGTAAACATTTCTATACGGCAATAAGAAATTTGTTAAATGCTAGTAGATACCATGCATCTCAAATAGGAACCTGGACTTCCATAATGAATTTCAGAAGAAATTCATTTTGGGGAAAGGGGTTTGGGCCACAACCAGCTGTGTTTGGGGTTCACTCCTGGCAGAGCTTGAGAGAAGGTATGTGGGAACAGGAATTTAACAGGAGTCAGTCGTGAGCAGGGCACATGTTCAAACTCCCTGTAACTACCTGGCTAGACATTTACTTTTTATGTATTCCTTATTTTGTGTCACCATGAATTAAAGCCTTTTTTTGATTAAGAATCTAATATTCGGGCCTGGAGAGATAGCACAGCGGGTAGGGCGTTTGCCTTGCACGTGGCCGACCTGGGTTCGATTCCCAGCATCCCATATGGTCCCCTGAGCACCGCCAGGAGTAACTCCTGAGTGCAGAGCCAGGAGTAACCCCTGTGCATCGCCAGGTGTGACCCAAAAAGCAAAAAACTAAACCCAAGATTCAACTTCAGGCCCTAAGTATTTCTGTTTATACTTTTAAGAAGTAAAAAAAGCAACCACTAAGTATGTTATTTTTTTTTCAGAGAAACCCCATTAATGTTCAAGAAATGCAAATTTCATATTTTGTAAAATTAAGTGTATAGAAAGATTTTATGCCCATAATACACATACCTCATTCTTTTTATCAATCAAATAAAGTTCTTTTTCATCACTGAATAGCTATTTCATCTATTCTACTGATGAACATTTTAAGTTCTTTCAGATGCACTGGTGAAAACTGCGTTGGTGATTCCAGTTTTTTTTAATTCTATTTTTATTTTTTAATCATAAAAAATTGAGGTGCAGGTGTCTAAAGGACCCCTCTCAAACTTCCCCCCTGCCACACACATCCCCATTGACTCAGTTTTACAGACAAATTCTTCTGAAGACTTTGACCTTTGCTGTTCCCTTAGAATGTTTCTTTTTTATCACACATATGGGAGATTATCTCCCTCTTGCTCTTCCTCTCTCTCTTCCCCTTCCTCCTCCTCTCCCCTTCATCTCTCTTGGTGATTTCACTTCTTGGCATCTACCCCAATATTTGCTCGAGGGGGCCCAGTAACGTCTCCATCATGAGACTTGTTGTTACTGTGTCTGGCATATCGAATACGTCACGGGGAGCTTGCCAGGCTCTGCCGTGCGGGCGAGATACTCTCGGTAGCTTGCCGGGCTCTCCGAGAGGGGCGGAGGAATCGAACCCAGGTCGGCCATGTTGGCTGCGTGCAAGGCAAACTCCCTACCGCTGTGCTATCGCGGTAGGGCATTTGCCTTGCAAGCGGACAACATGGCCGACCCGAGTTCAGATTCCTCCGCCCCTCTCGGAGAGCCCGGCAAGCTGCCGAGAGTATCTCGCCCGCACGGCAGAGCCTGGCAAGCCACCCGTGATGTATTGGATATGCCAGACACAGTAACAACAAATCTCTGTCCCTACCCCAATATAGAGAACATTAATTCAAAAGGATATATGCACAACCTATGCTCATCACAGTGCTTACCACAACAGCAAAGATTCGGAAACAGTCAAATGCCCCACTGCAGATGGATGGATCAAGAAGTAGTGGTATAGGGCAGGAGTGATGGTACAGTGCACTTTTACCATGCACACGACCAACCTGGGTTCGATCCCTGGCACCCCAGATGGTCCCCAAGCTCCACTAGGAATACATCCTGAGTACTGGTGGGTATGGAAGTTGTGGTAGATATACATAATGGAATGCTATGAGCACTAAGAAAACACAAAAGCATGCATTTTACCATGACACAGATGGAACGAAAGCATATGCTAAGTCAAGTCAGTCAAAAAAAGGGGTAGGTAGAGAATGATGTCTTTCATACGTTAGACTTATACAGCCAGGTAACAACAAAGGGCCAAAGGCAATAGAAGAGGAGAGTGAGCAGCTAGAGCAATAGTACAGTGGGTAAGGCCCTCACTTTGCACACAGCGGACCCAAGTTCAATCTCCAGCACTCCATTTGGTTCCCTGAGCAATGCCAGAAGTGAGCCAGGGGTTATCACCAGGTGCGGCCCCCAAAAAAAAATTGTTTTTAATAATAGTAAGTAAAAAAAAGAAAGCGAGAGTTGATCCAAGAACTGAGTTAGGGGAAAGCATAGGGGGAGATTGAAAGGGAGGGGCCTGCAGGAGGAAATCAAGTACTCTGGTTTTAGAATCAAGTATACACAGAATCATCGTTTGTAATACTGTATCTCAGTACTTCAATAAAGATTAAAAAATCATTTAGAAAAATGGAAAGTGCCACTTAGAACATTCCTGCCTACACATTTCTGTAGAATTGTTACAAATGGAATTGCTAGATTCAATGAAAACTATCAATTCTGAGAAAAAAAAATTTTTTTGCCAAATTACCATTGAGAAATAAAAGATGAAGATCAATGTCTGAAAAATTTGAATACAAGTGTGCTTTCACCGTCACTTGCACTAGATAAGGGTGATCTGATAGATCTTTCAAAGGCAGGTGTCGTTCAGCCAAGAATTAATAATCACTCTCAAGAAACCCCAGTAACCAGGGCCAGAGCATCAAGCCAGCAGGGAGGATTTGCCTAACATGCAGAAGACCTAGGTTCAATCCCCAGCACCACATATGGTCCCCTGAGCTTGCAAAGAGTGATCCCAGAGGATAGCCACGAATAGCCTGAGCACCCCCGCTCTCCATTCCACCCTGCCCCTATGTGGCCCAAACAAACACACTAGCAAAAAAACAGAAAAGAAAGAAGAAAGCCCAGTAATCTTAGAAAGCCCACAGAATAGACCCCACAGCGCAGGATAAAGTAGTTCAGATTAATATCATGAGTAAGCGAAGGAAACACTTTCAAAACGGCAATCAAGGATCAATCTTAAAATAAGGTATTCTCTGCCAGTCTGTGTTATGAGACTCTCCACCCACCTCAGGTTCCCCGAGAACCTAGTGGCGTGCAGAATCATGAGAGCTCAGTCTCCACGAAGCCCCCACTACCTCCTAGGATAAGTCCTTCCTGAGTCTAGGCAGAAACTATGACCGCGCAAAACAGACAGGACGCTGCTCCCCTGTTGGAGACTCAGTAAGAATTATCCAAGTCAGGCTGGAGCAATAGTACAGCAGGTAGGACATTTGCCTTGCAAGCGGCTGACCAGGGTTCAATCCCCAGCATCCTATATGGTCCCCAGGCACTGCCAGGAGTAACCCCTGAGCAATGCTAGGTGTGACCCAAAAAGAAAACAAAAAAATAACTGTCTAAGCAGCCAAGGGACTGGGTGAGGGCCAGAGCCTGCAGAGCAGCCAGGCAGGGAGGAACCGCAGTACCTGGTGCTGGGAGCCCGGATGCAAGCAGAGCCCTGGAACCCCACAGAGTCCCCAGCCCACCAGAACTAAACCATGAGCACTCTGGTGTGACCCAAAATCAAAACACCACCAACAAGAAGGAAAAAACAGCAAACAGCTTAGTATATTAGAAAGTCATTTAAGTGAGATTAAGGAGGTACAGTGCCGCCCAGCAGGTCAGGCTGTACCTGCAGGGCGAGTGCATCAGCAGCCTGATGGTGCCTCAGGCTTTCTAATAGCCCAAAATTGCCAATGTGCCTCTGGCCAGACCCCAACAACTTGGGACCGAGTTTCCTGAGAAATTTAACAGCCAAAAGCTAGGTATGGGGGAGCATGCCCACGAACCACCTCTGGCTCAGCCATACAAGCTCATTTATCAGCCTTGCTTCAGAGATTCAAAGAAATCTCCCAAGAAATCAAAATCAGAGACTCGAGAGCAGCACACCACAGAGATGTCACTGCACCCCATACCAGGTGATTGCACCTCGGAGGGGGCCAGGTATGTATGTCCCTCCGCCTGACCTAGGTTCAATCCCTGCACCACATAAAGTCCCTGAGCCCCGCCAGGAGTGATCCCTGAGCACAGAACCAGAGCAAGCCCTGATCTTATGAATCCTTTAATTAAAATAAAATGCGATACTCACGAAAGGCAGGGTGCACTTTCGTACATGACCAAACTGTGCAAAGTGTTCTCTCAACTCATCTGTATAAGAAAGGAAAACACAAAAAAGATAATGAATGTATTTTCTTACATTTTCCATTCTCCATTGCAAACAGAAATCAAAGGAATTCCTCAAGGTCCCAGACTTCTTATGAAGAGGCGCCACTTAGGATTTCCTCCAAGCCTCAGGATTCAGGAAGCAGGCCAGGATGCTGGAGGCAAGCTTCCCCAGCTCAGACCCAGGGTCTAACACCGGCACCTCCCACCTCCTGAGGAGGACCTAGGAAACAGCCGCGAGACTACCCCAAAGGAGGCAAATGTGCCAGTCAGGGGAAGCAGCAAAGTGGGGAGTTAATACTACAGAAGCTGTCTTCGGACCCAGCAAACACGGAGTGTCTTCATCATATTATGTATTATGCAAGTGTATTATGCAAGGTACATGGAGTATTATCCCTGAGACAAAACCACAATTTGGTGTGTTGTTTGTCAGTTACCCAGTGAAATCCCTTCCCTTCCCGGATTTAAAGTGGGAGGTGGGAAAACGGCACGCTAAAGTGTGTTGTTGTGTTTCCCATGGACGCCCAGTCACTCTCAAGGACAGAAAATGGAATGCCAGGTCCTGCGAATCCCTCTATTTCTATTCATCCTTTCCCCCTGGAAATGTCAGATTTTCTCTTGAAATCGATCTTCTCCTAACTTCTAACTATCCTTTAAGATCCCGGTCAAACCCAACTACTTTTATCTTAAAAGACAAAAAAAAACCTCTCCAGCCCCAAACCTAGAAACAGTTTATAGGAATGAAGGTATTTGTCTTGCCCACGATCAAGCCTCTTTCTATTGTGGCCAACCACTGCAAGGAGTAATTCCTGAGCAGAGCCAGGAGTAAGCCCAGAGTACTGCACTCATCAATGAACCACTAAAAAAAAAAAAAAAGGTAAAGGTAAAGGTAAAGGCCCTCCCGTTGATCGTCGATTTGCTCGAGCGGGCCCAGTAACGTCTCCATTGGAGACTTTGTTGTTACTGTGTCTGGCATATCGAATACTCTCGGTAGCTTGCCGGGCTCTCCGAGAGGGGAGGAGGAATCGAACTCGGGTCGGCCATGTTGGCTGCTTGTAAGGTGAACGCCCTACCCACTGTGCTATCGCTGCAGCCAAAAAAAAAAAAAAAAAAACCAGGAGAAGGGGTGAGGGGTGGAAGTAACCCCTCCCATTCTTTTCCTTACAAGGGCTCCGAGCTATCCGAGCTACCCTTGATGTATTGGATATGCCAAAAACAGTAACAAGTCTCACAATGGTGCCCACAAGAGCAAATCAATGAACAACTGCAGTGACACTGCAGTGCAGTGAGAGTGGCTGATCTGACACATCCCCATCTACAAAGGTAACAGGAGGCTGAGGAGAAGGCTGGAGAGAAGCATGGCCCAGGCCTGGGTTCAATTCCCCTCCTAAGGTAGGGTGCCCACACCCTCACCTGCCCCAAACACTGAGACACCCCAGCAGTAAGCCAGGGGCAGCTCCTGACCACAGCTGGGCGTGGCCCCCACATGTAAGCAAAAGTGACAAGTCAAGAATCTTTACTTCTTTTTTTTTTTTTTTGCTTTTTTTTTGGGGGGGGTCACACCTGGCAATGCTCAGGGGTTACTCCTGGCTTTGCACTCAGGAATCACTCCTGATGGTAGCTCAGGGGACCATATTGGGTGCTGGGAATGGAACCCAGGTCTGCCGCGTGCAAGGCAAATGCCCTGACCGCTGTGCTATCACTCCAGCCCCCAAGAATCTTTACTCATTTCTGCGTGTTGGGAATTGAACCCAGGACCTCCAGAGAAACTAGGTCAAAAAAAATTTTTTCTTTTAATCGTAGCAATGTTAAAAAAAAATATATAGACTATATATATAGTCTCAAAGGCTCATGCTAACCAAAAAGGATGTGGATTGAGATTTCCGCGGTTTCTCCAAACGTCCTATAGGTCCCGTTTTTGTACTCGTGAAAAGATCTATGGATCCATGACTTATTGATTACGGAGCCCGTTTCAAGCACAGAATCTTAAAAAAAAAAAAAAAGCTTGCATATAAACTCGCTGCACAGAACCCCCTGCTAGCACTGTGCTATGCCCCTGCCGCTGCCTTGCAGGCCTCCAAACACACTTCACAAACCTCTGGCCCATCACTCCGAAGCCCAGGAGGCCGTGCCCTGCGTGTCCCCCACCCTCAAAGTATGACTGTCCCCCCCAATCTCTCGGTGTTCACTGCCAGCTCAGAAGCAAAAAAAAAAAACCGTTTCCCTGGGCAAGCGCCGCGCGCTCAGACTCCCGTGCGCCGCAGAAAGCGGAGCTCGGAGGCCTCGCGCGGGCGACGCGTCCCACCCCGGCCCCACCGTCACTCACTGGCGGCCGCGGTCCAGGGAATCCTCCGCACGAACGCCACGTGCCGGCCCACGCCCGCCCGCGCCGCCAGCGCGGACCTCGCCACCGACGCCGCCATCGCTAGGCCCGCGGGCTCTCCGTGACCCCCGCCCCGGTCGCGACCCGGAAGAACCTGGCGCCAGCCGCCCGACTTCCGGGTCAGAGGAGGTGGCGGCAGCGACATGGGAAAGATGGCGGCGGCCGTGGGCCCCATGGCGACGCTGGCGGCGGAGCCGGGGGAAGACGCCTTTCGGAAGCTTTTCCGCTTCTACCGGCAGAGCCGCCTGGGGACCACGGACCTGGGAGGGGTCATCGACTTCTCGGCGGCCCACCCGGCCTGCGGCACCGGGCCCGCGGCGCTCAAGGTACGGAGCGAGGCGATGGCGAGCTCATCCCGGCCCTCGGGGACCGGCCGCCGCGCCCTCCGCGCTCCTGACCCGGGTCTCCCGCTGAGCTCGCTCTGGGCCTGGCAGCCGAGATGCTAGATTGTTAAGTTGCTATGTCCTCGGGAAGGAAGTTTCACTCGCACATTGCCCAGACCAGACCTGAGGATGCAAAAAATGCAAGGCACTCTTTTTTTTTTTTTTAAATAATTTGGGGTCACACCCGGCAATGTACAGGGGTTACTCCTGGCTCATGCACTTAGGAATTATTCCTGGCTGTGCCGGGGGGACCATATGGTTATGCTGGGAATCGTACCCGGGTTGGCCTCGCGCAAGGCAGCCGCCCTACCAGCTGTGCTATATAGCTCCAGCCCCCAAAATGCAAGGTACTTTTTATCGCTAGCTGGAGCTGGGGTACGACTCTTGACAAGTTCCCGGGAACATTCTATGGCATATCGTTACAGAAGCATCATTGGCAGTTTTCCCAAGAATTGCGATTTTCCCTTGCACGTGGAGGACCCGGGTTCGATTCCCAGCATCCCATAGGGTCCCCCAGCACCTCCAGGAGTAATTACTGAGTGCACGAGCAAAGAGTAACCACTGTGCATCACGGGGTATGACCCAGAAAGCAAAAAAAAAAAAAAATTGCAATGAAGCAGTCCCAAGTCTCCAAGTCTGAGTTAATTGGTCATGCCCATCTTCTGTGCCCAGAGATACCCTACTTTTCACAGGACTGGCTAGAGGCGCCCAGGGGATTTCCAGCTTTGGCCAAGGACAGCCTTGGGGAATTCTTTGGGGAGGGGAATGGGGAAACAAACTGAGGCCTACTGCCTGTTTCAGCCTTAAAGTTAAGTGGGAGGGAGGGAAGAGGGGAGATATCCTGGGGAGATTGGTGGTGGGGAATGTGCACTGGTGGAGGGATGGATATTTGATCATTGTGTGATTGTAACTCTACATGAAAGATTGTAACTGTATCTCATGGTGATTCAATTAAATTTTTTTTAAAGTGAAGTTTGGTTTTTGGGGGGTCACACCCAGCGATGCTCAGGGATTATTCCTGGCTCTGCACTCAAGAGTTACTCCTGGCAATGCTCAGGAGACCATATGGGATGCTGGGAATCGAACCCGGGTCGGCTGTGTGCAAGGCAAACGCCCTACCTGCTGTGCTATCTCTCCAGCCCCAAGTGAAGTCTGTTATAGCCCTGCTTCAACCTTACAAAGTGACATATCCAAAGGTGTCCCCTTAGCTAAGTGATAGAGCTAAGTTTAGGAGCCTGGACTTGTCAGTGCTAACCTTGTCCTAGTCCAGAAATGTCTTTAGAGGCCCGAGGTTCTCTGACTTCACCTTTGAGCTTTAGCTCTCTGACTGGAGTTTCTTCCTGCAGGTGGTCAAGTCTCCGCTGAGCATGTCCTCGGTCAGTGAACATGATGCCCGCCGGGTGGGACTGCGGCCTGTCAGCGCGTGGCGGGCCTATGGCCTCGAGGGCTACCCCGGTGAGTGCTGCGAGACAAACCCCGGAGGCAGATGGGCAAGTCAGTGGACAGAGGAAAAAATGTAGCACTGTAGCACTGTCCTCCCATTGTTCATCGATTTGCTTGAGCGGGCACCAGTAACGTCTCCATTGTGAGACTTGTTACTGTTTTTGGCATATCGAATATGCCACGGGGAGCTTGCCAGGCTCTGCCGTGTGGGCGGGATACTCGGTAGCTTGCCGGGCTCTCTGGGAGGGGCGGAGGAATCAAACCCGGGTCAGCCGCGTGCAAGACAAACGCCCTACCCACTGTGCTATCGCTCCAGCCCAGAGGAGAAAACAGAACACAAAAATGTTTTGCTCCCAAGGCCATCCTAAATTCTGCCCTATCGAGTATTTCCGTTTTTTGAACATTCCCAGAGGACAATATAGGATTCAGTCATGCCCACCTGATAGTGCAGAAAGTGACACACTGGACCGACAGAAACGTTAGAGCCACTGACTCTGGGCTCCCGGCCACTGCACTCTCAACACCCGCTCCCACGAAAGGGCTGCCTGCAGTGATAGAGTTAACTCACAACACCCACACTGCTCACACATTCCCTGCATTCTCCAGTGTCAGAGCAACTGCTTAAACTTGTTCCCTTCATCAGGACTGAGAAGGAGAATTAGAGATATTGAAATTGGAAGTTCTAATCTAGAATCTTGATTTTTTTTTAAGAAAATTTTGTTTTATTTGGGGTTTTTCACCTATACCTAGCTGTATTCTAGTGCTCTGTGCTCGAGGGTTGATCTTGTCACAGTGCTCAAGGGACCATGTAGTGCCTGAGATCAGACTGCAAACTGCGGATGGCTGCATTCTAGGCAAGTGCCTGAACCTCAGTACTGTCTGTCTGTCATATAGGAAGCTCTTCTACATTTTATTGATGTTGTGTAGCTGATCTTAGAGAAAATAATTAGTGATGGGTGGAGGGGAGATTGTGACAGTTTGGGCCACATGCAGAAATAATTCTGTTCAGGAGTGACCCCTTGTGATTGAGGGACCATATGTGGTGCCAGGTATTGAATTACTCCTGGCAGTGCTTGAGGGACCGTCTGGGATGCTAGGGATTGAACCCGGGTCAGCCACATGTAAGACAAGTGCCCTACCGCTGTACTGTTCTCTCCAGCCCATGAACACTTTTGTATTGCTGCAAATATGCATTTCCAAACTTGAAATATGGGTGTGAAGAATGTACCCCTTTAAAGCTCTCACCTCATTTGTGTTTTTTAATTAAGAATTTAAATGTTCTCGCGGTTACAAACTGGCTTTATTTTATTTATTTGAGAGTGAGGAGCTTTTTGAGTCACAGCCAACGATGCTTGGGTTATTTCTGGCTCTCCACTCAAGCAGTTACTCCTGGCGGTGCTCAGGGGACCATTTGGGACGCTGAGGATCGAACCCAGGTCAGCAGCGGTCACGGTCGTGGTCCTCCTGTTGTTCATCGATTTGCTCGAGCGGGCCCAGTAACGTCTCCATCGTGAGACTTGTTGTTACTGTATATTGAATACGTCACGGGTAGCTTGCCAGGCTTTGCCGTGCGGGCGAGATACTCTCAGTAGCTTACCAGCCTCTTCGAGAGGGGCAGAGGAATCAAACTCAGGTCAGCCATGTTGGCCGCTTGCAAGGCAAACACCCTACCGCTGTGCTATCGCTCCAGCCCAGGTCAGCAGCATGCAAGACAAATTCCCTACCCACTGTACTATCACTCCAGCTCTACAAACTGGTTTTGAATATTGAACATACTATCGGTTTTAATAACTGCTTTGCCTTTTTACACCTGGTGAGTTGGGACACATAACCTTTGAATTGTCAGTTTTTGGTGTTTTTGTTTTGTTTTCTTAACCACATCCAGCAATGCTCAGTACTTACTCCTGGTGGACTCGGGGAACTATTATGGGGTGCCAAGGATCAAACCCGGCTTGGCCTCATGTAAGATGTGTGCCCCACCCACTGTATAATGGCTCCCGCCTGATTTGTCAAAAAAAATTTTTTTTATATACCACAATTTATTTATCCACTCATTGATCCGTGAGTTATTTCCAGATCTTGACTACTGTGAATAGTGCTATAATGAACATCAAAATGCAGATGTCTTAAAAATGGTGCCTCCTGGTCATTGGGATAGAAGCCAAGAGGTACAGTTGCTTGGTCATATTGGAGGCTCTTAGTGTTTTGAGAAGGCTCCACATTGTTCTCCATAGAGAGCAAACCAATTAACATTCACATTAACTATGGAACAGAAATTTGATTTGTCAAATTTCATGCTATGTGAAATACTATTTTGTGTATTTTATTTTTTTTTTAAGAAAAAATTTTAAAAAACAGATGTTTGCTTCTTCATCATCAGCTTTACATTAATTTGAAGAAACTTGCCTTGTGAAACTGGAGAACAGGAATGAGAATATTTACTTTTAACCTGGAGGCCCCTGGAAGCATATACAAAAGTAATAATAAGTGTGGGGCCCAAGAAATAGTACAGCAGGTAGGGCACATGCCATGCACATGGCAGACCCACATTCAATCCTCAGTATCTGATACAGTCCCCAAGCACTACCAGGAGTGAGGGCAGAGCAGCCAGGAGTAAGCCCTGAGTGTTGCCAAAGCAATCAACCCCCTCCCCCCCAAAAAAACCAAATAGTAATGGGGATACCAACAATACCTGGTGTTTAATGAACAGAGACTTTTCACTCTCCCCTTTTCTCACTTTTCCCCCCCCTTTTTTTTGGCATAGGATTTATCTTTATCCCAAACCCCTTCCTCCCCGGTTACCAGTGGCACTGGGTGAAGCAGTGCCTTAAGTCATACTGCCAGAAACCTAACGTATGTAACCTGGACAAGCACATGACAAAGGAAGAGACCTGTGACCTGTGGGAGCAGAGCAAAGAGTCCCTCCGGTAAGCCTACCCAGCAAAGCCCAGGGCCAGTGCTCGCCCTGCTATTCAGGGGTCTCCTCTCGAGCAGCAGACGGCTGGGGCCTGGGCTGCTTGTTTCCTTTCCTTTCCATGCAAACACAACGCAACGGAACAGCCGGACAGTTGCATTGACAGTTATATTACATTGAGATCCATTTTCAAGATTCTGCTTTTGATAGCTGAGATATGAGCCCATCCTCATTAATCATCAGAGGATCCATTTCATTCTTCTGCAGCCCTTTTTTTTTCTATATAAAGTGAGTGTCTTTGGAACCTCGTGATATCCTGGGTTAAAAAGTAGAACTGCAGTGAAAGCTCTACTTCTCTGAGAAGCAGCCAGTGCCATTAACTGTTCTGTGCCCATCTAAGCTACTGTTTGTAGGAAGTGATGTATGTGCCTTAAAGCTTCAGCATTCATTCATGCCCCCTGTATTTATTGAGGGTCAGTTGTACACTGGGTATGATGCTAAACATGAGAGATGCAAAGAGGTTTTCCCTGCACCCATGAGTGTATAGTCTAAAGAAGTTCAGTTTCAATAGGGGTAATTATAATAGACCTCAGAAAAAAACTGCAGTAGCTGTTCAGAGAAATGCTCTGGGATAAAAGGAATATTTCTTTTGTCTTATTTTGGGCAACCCTTGATGGTGCTCAGGGTCTATCTGTAACTGTACTCATGGACCATGCAGTGCCAGAAACTAAAACCAGGCCTGTCATGTGGGAAGCATGCATTCTAGGAGTCAGAGCAATAGTACAGCAGATAAGGTGCTTGCCTTGCACATGGCTGACCCAGGTTTGATTCCTGGCATCCGATCTGGTCCCCCAAGCTTGCCAGGAGTGATCCCAGAGTGTAGTGCCAGGAGTAAGCTCAGAGCACAGCCAGGTATGGGGAAAAAAGAAAGAAAGCATGTATTCTAGCCCCTTGAGCCATCTCCCTGGGCCCTGGAAATAGTCATGCAAGGAGGAAGTATGGAAAAAAAGGTAAAATGATATTTAATTGGGCCCAGTATTCTCTTATTTTCTCTGCCTATTTGAACTGAGCCTTCAAAAATTATCAAAAGGAGGCTAGCAAGATAGCACAGGAGTTAAGGCACTGGCCTTGTGTGTGGCTGACCCCAGTTTGATTCCCAGCACCAAATACAGACCCCCAAACAACACCAGGAGTAATCCCAAACCATAGAGTCAGAAATAAGCCCATGTGTGGCCCCAAAATCAGAAAAAGAGGGACAAGAAATATGATGAATAGGACTGGAATTAGCACAGTGGACTGAGTGCAGGCTTTGCCTGCCAGACGTCCAGATCTGTCACCACAAACACCACCGAGAACAACCCCAAGCACAGTACCCTGAGCTCCGCAGGGCATGGCTTCAAAGAACTAAGCATTCCTGAGTCAAAAACAGACTTTTTTTTTTTTTTTAGAAAAACTGTTTTGGATAGAAAAAGCAGTCTGTGTAAAAATGTAGTATATAAGACAGTAAGTTGTTCTGTGAGCTACTATGTAGTATATTTATGTGTCTACTCAGCAAACACTGTTGAGTTTCTGCCAGGTATCACAGTTCCTGACTTCAAGGACTTTGTATTTTAAAAGACATCATGTAAACATATAATTAAAGTCAGTTCAGCAGGCACAGAGAGAGAATTCATATAGGGTAGTCATTCAGGTGACTTGAGTGGAGCTGGATTGTGAGAACTGACCAGAGATGACATCAGAAAGGTAGGGCCAGGCCGGAGCAATAGTGCAGCACGGAGGGCATTTGCCTTGCACACAACTGACTGGGGTTCGATCCCCGACATCCCATATGGTCCCCAGAGCACCACCATGAGTGATTCCTGAGTGCAGAGCCAGGAGCAACTCCTGAGCATGGCCGGGTATGACCCAAAAAAAAAAAAAAAAGATAAGGCAGTGGCGGCTGCAGAGATAGTACAACAGGGAGGGAACTTGGCTTGCATGAAGCCTGCCAGGGTTCAATCCCCATATGGTCCTTCTACTCAGTCAGGAGTGATCCCTGAAAGCAGAGCAGTACTCATTCCTAAGTACCGCCAGGTGTCACCCTAAAACAAAAAAACAAAGGTAGGGCCAAGTTATAGGGGATTAGTGATGTGGAGCACTAATTCTGGAGTCCTATTGTTTGGGTTCAAATTCCAGCTATACTTATTGTTGCACTCCGTTTGTACTAAAACAGTTTCCAGAAACTCATGCTGGTTCAAACAGGGAAAATAGAAGATTTTCTTTAGTTGAAAAAGTAAACTAAAATTCAAGCTGTGGAGCGGGGGTGAGGGTTGAGGTAAGTGGAGCGATAGTACAGTGGATAGGGCACTTGCTTTGCACACAACTGGCGAGGTTTGATCCCCATCATCCCATGTTACCCCCAGAGCAGCCCTGAACATTACCCAGATATGACCCAAAAACGAATATAAAATTTATACTAAGGAACTATTTTTTTCTCTGAAGCCTTCTTGGTCTGTACTTTATGGTAGAGACTGAAGACTAAGTATCATCCTTAGCACTGAGAGCAAAGATCATGACTGTGTGACATTAACCCAAGAGAACTTAACGCTTATTATTAAACCAGCCAGTGTTTTCAAGTAATTGATTTTTTTCTTCTGATAAATGACTTTGCAAAAACCCCAGTTGTCATCATCTAAGATAACTCAGATGAATCTCTTTAATAAATCATCCTGAAAACAAGAGAAGATACTTTTTTTTTTTTGGTCAGATAAATCAGCAAGAATAAAAATTGTGCTGGCCCTACCTTCTGTTGTCATAGGCGGGAAAGATTGATATGCTCAGACATCGCTGACTACATTGAATATCGATTAGAGTCCTTGTTTGCTTTCTCTTTTTCTCAGCTGGGGAACAAAGGAGTTGGGCTGGATAAGACTCCCAAGGTGGTTGAATCGTGGAGGGTCACCCTGATAACATGGATCAGTTTTTCCCATTTTCCTATTGAATGTCAGAAAGAGCTGCAGTTCCATAAAATTCTAGAGATTATAATTATCTACCGTAACACCCACCTTTAGAACCATAGAACTAGAGGACCTCTCGGGAGCCTTTTGCAACTTCAGTTGTTTTCAGCCTGTTTATACCTGCAGAGTAGACCCTGGCCAGGACCCAGTCTCTAGCAGTTCTAGCCCAGAGCTCGACCAGGGTTCTCAAATTCCTACACTTTGGACCTACCCTGCTTGCACATCAGTAGTTGAAAATAACCGTTCTAGGTTTTTGTGATCAGAGAAAGAGAAGTACTTAGAAGCAAAAGGAGGTCTGTTCACAAAATTTCGGTTCCTAAATTCTGTATATTCCAAATTCTATATATTGTCAGTGAATGGTGTGACTAGAGATTCCTGGACAAGAATAAGAGTTTAGCAGATATAAGCATCTTTGTAGCATTGTAATGACAAACAAATAAGGTCGATTGATAGGAGACTGAGATCAAGCGGGACATACGCCCCAGCAGTAGAAGAGAGCCACAGCATGGCCTTTCCAGTCTGGGGAGAGGAGAGAATTGGTTTGGTGGCCACACCCAGTCAACTGTGCCATATAGAAAAATGAAGACTCTGCCCTATATATGGTGGCAGTTTTTCAAGATCAGTAACTGGATTTTCACTTTAGAAAGATAACTTCTATGGCTGGAGAGATAGTACAGTGGGCGGAGCGCTTGTCTTGCACACAGTTGATCTGGATTCGATCATCACTATCCTATATTGCCCCCCCAGCATCACCAGGAGTGATTCCTGAATGCAGAGCTCGGGTAAGTCCTGAGCAGTTCAGGATATGTCCCCAAAACCAAAGAAATCAATTCTGCATGTGTAATACTCTGGATTTAATCCTAAACATAGCCACCAACAGCAGCAAATAAACAAAAGCACAATTAAGAATCTAGCTAAATAATCTTTACAAAGGATGATAAGACCTAATCCCTGGCATCCAGTATGGTCTCTCAAGCCCCACCAGGAGTGAGCCTGAGTGCAGAGCCAAAAGTACGCCCTGAGCACACCTGAGTGTTGCTCAGAACCCCTGCAAAAAAAAAAAAAAAAAGAATGTCAATAGAGCTTCATGATCAGGGACTGTGACAATTGAGAGAAAAAAGGTTAAGACATAGCCACCAATTTCTGCATGACGGTGATGGCTGAGATTGGCTCTCCTTTGCAGTCTGTGGGTAACTCTGAAGATACAGGTATTTTACATTTGACCACAATTATGAGTATAGAAATCAGATGCACTTACTTTTCTGAACAAGGTTACGTGAATTAAGTCTACATGAGAAAGGAACAGTGAATTGTTTTAGTACCTTTAGCTGATGAAATCTTGGACAAACTCAGGTCATATTAACTACATTATATTTTTTGGGGGGGTGGGGAGGTCACACCCAGCGATGCACAGGGCTTACTCCTGACTCTGAACTCAAGGATTAACCCTGGCGGTGCTCAGGGGACCATATGGGATGCTGAGATCGAATCCCGGTCAGCCGCATGCAAGGCAAATGCCCTACCGGCTGTGCTATTGCTCCAGCCCTACATTACATTTTTTGTTGTCAGCTTTGTTTATACATGGCAAGCGTCGATAACAGTGATTATCCATAGTAACTTTATCTCAACTCATTTTAGTCACTGACCAAACCAGAATATCTTCAAGTAAATTTCTTACCAGTTCTGGGGCCAGAGCAAAGTACAGTGAGTTGGACCTTACACTCGGCCAGTCCGGGTTCAATCTGCAGTATCCCATATGGTCTCCTGAGCCAATCAGGAGGGATCTTTGGGCACAGAGCTGGGCACAAGCCAGGAGTAAGTCCTGAGCACTGGCTAGGTGTGGCACCAAAAGAAAATAGAACAGTTCTTGGATCAGAGCGATAGTATAGCCGGTAGGGCATTTGCCTTGCACGAGGCCAACCCGGGTTTGATCGCCGGCATCCCATGTGGTCCTCCAGCACCTCCAGTAACTTCTGAATGCAGAGCAGGAGTAACCCCTGAGCATTGCTAGTGTGGCCCAAAAAGCCAGAAAATAATAATAATAATAAATTTAAAAAATGAATCTTTAAGACAATCTCTGTCACACCATTCACAGTGTGGTGACCTCTTAGCAGCCCTCTGCTTCCGCGTGGGCCGAGTACCCCCTGCCTGCACCCCGTCGGATGCCAGCCTGCATTCGGAGGGCCATCCCCCCTTCCAACACTGCTGTGAGGCTGTAGCTAACTGGACCGTGGGCTTTCCTTTTTCTGAATTCTAGAGACCCTCGCAGTGTCTCTCTGTTCTGTTGAATGCTAGTATATACTGCCATGAATTTTCTCCCCACTTCTCGTACGTGATGTATTAGCGCCCATCAGAATATAAACTCTAAACAGTCTAATCTTTAATTTTTATCTTTTTGTTCTTTTTTTTTAAAGTAGCATTGGTTCTTGGACCAGAATATCTTTTTTGATTAATGATGCAGATTACAAAGAAAAAGTAATTAGGCCCAGTCTCCTCATATTTTTAGGTATTTTAGAATTCAGTTCAGTAAGCTTTCTATTTAGAGAGTAGTAAATCAGTCTGCTCGATCAGACGCGCTGGAACTGCAGAGAAAATGCCTCTGTTTTAAGGCAACCTCCTGTGGCTGAAGCAAGATTTCAGAAACCAAATCAATTACAGTTGATCCTTGATTGTGAGCTAAGCCTCAATTATCCAAGCTCTGTTACACAGGGTTAAAGAATTCATATTAGACCAGTCATTTTTAATTGTAGACTATATTTTGCCAAACTTTTATTCCCTCCAACCTGCAATTCTGGGAAACTGCTATCATTCTGGACCTAGTTATTGCTGTGATTAATCAGACTTCGCTGTAACAGCCAAATTGAACATAGTCTATTAGCCAATTTTCCATTGCCCGTAGTGTTCTCAGTTCCATTTCCCATAGATAGGTAAAGACATTTCTGTTGTCATTCTTGTTTTATCATTATTGAGCTGCTGGAAATTTGCCACTTAAAATTGATCCCATTCAACAAAGGATTTAGAGCCAAGGACGAGAGATTTGAAGTGCTAACATGCTTTTAATGATTATATTCTTTGTTTTTGTTTTGGGGGGGGGGGCAAACCTGGTGGTGCTCGGGGCTGAATGGGCTCCTGGCTCTGTGCTCACTCCTGGTAGGACTCAGAGGGACCACCTGGGGTGCTGCAGAGATCAAATCCAGGTCAGCTACATACAAAGCAAGCGCCCTACTTGCTGTACTATTGCTCCTGTCCCAGATAGTAATGCATCCTTGATCATTTTATTAAGTTGTTGATTTTCTCTATCAAGATTGAGGTAACAGCATATACTGTGGAATATCAAGTTTAGACTCCAGGGTCTGTGAATGGGATTGTTGCCATTTGAAATTAATTGATCCTCTCTTTTCTTCCATCTCTGCAGCAATAAGGACATGAATAAACGAAGACCCCGAAGTTTGATAGAGAAGTTGCGGTGGGTGACCCTAGGCTACCATTATAACTGGGACAGTAAGGTATCTGGATTCTGTTAAACATTCTTCCCCATTTTTATGCTTCTTGATCCCACATAGTTGGAGTTCTTCCAAGCTAAGTTTTAAAATATATGTTTGTGGGAGTATCTCATCTGTTTCCCCTGAAGTCCTCTTGACCCTTTATCTCAAGAGGTCTGGCTAATCTATTGTGAACATTTTTCTTCTTTGTTTGCCCTCAGGTTGTATTATTTCCCCCAGATGTCCTCAGTTCAGTGCTTCCTCACAGTAGGTGAATTTCTAGGCCGTAGCTCTTCTTTCACTGCATTCCAGAACAGTTCTCCATTATTATTTTTATTTCTACTAGGGGTTAGTGTTGAGCATTTATTTTCTACAGAATAATTTGCCAGGAGTAAATAAAGCCTCTCACACTTCTGATACTCTCTTCCCTTGACTCAGAAAAGAATGTTCAAGACCTAGGTACGTCTTTCTCAGCCTTGTGAGGTCTAAGCAAGCAAGGAAAGAGAAAGAATGGTCTGCAGCTAGGGGCTGAACACTGCCCGGAGTAGCTGCTGAACTGTTATTCAAAAAAATAAAAATAAAAAACCTTAGTTTCTCTGGTGCTGGAGAGATAGTATGAGGTTTAAGATGTTGCTTTGCATTCTGCCAGCACTTATTTAATCCCTTGCACTGCATATGGCCTTCCAGGCCAAGGGTGAGCCCTGAGTGTTACCAGGTAGGCCCCAACAAGTTAGTTTCATTCACTAAGTGGAGACAGGAAGGCCAGAGCAATAGTCCAGCATGTGAGGCACTTGCCTTGCACATGGCCAGCCTGGGTTTGCTCTCCGGCATCCCATATGGTACCCTGAGCCACCACTAGTGACTTGTAAGAACAGAACCAAGAGTAAACTCTGAGCACATCAGATGTGGCCCAAAACAAAACCAAAGAAAAAAAAAAAAAGGAATTGTATAATGGGGCAAGAACAGTACAAATGGGGGAGGTATGTACTCAGCCAACCTTGGTTTGATCCCCAGCACCCCATATGTCAGCCTGCCCAGGGCCTGCCAGGAAAAATCCCTGAGCACAGCAGACCCAGAAGTAAGCCCTGAGCACAGCCTATTGTAGGCCGAAACCAAAAAAATACAACCACAAAAAGGAAATAAAGAAAATGGAGACTGAAAATGACCAAGAACTCTAAGGGCAGGGCCTTCCCTTGCAGTTGATCAATCCAGATTCAATCCTTAGCACTCCGGTTCCCTGATCCCTGCCAGGATTCCTGCTGTGTGTGTGTGTGTGTGTGTGTGTGTGTGTGTGTGTGTGTATTGGGGCGAGGGGGGTGGACGACTCTGGGGTCAGAGAAATAGTACAGGAATTTGGGGGCTTGCTTGCCTTACATAAGACTGTCCTGGTTCAATCCCCACTACCACTTGTGTTTTCCCAATGTACAGCCTTACGTATAAGCCCTGAGCACTAGCAGGTGTGACCCAACCAACCCCCTCTCTCACACCACCCAAAAAATTCGAATGTATAATCAGAGAATGAAACAAAATTAAGATAGTACATAGACAAGGCCAAAGAGGTAGTACAAAGGTTAGCTGGTAGCTGCAGCCCACAGATGGTCCCCCAGCACTGCCAAGTGTGGCCCCAAAATGCCAAGAGAGCAGTGGGATGGCAGGTAGGGTGCCCCTGCCTTGCGTGCAGCCAACCTGGGTTCAGCCCCGGCAACATTTATGCTTCCTCAGTTCCTTCTAGGAGTGATCCCTGAGCACAGCTGGTGTGGCCCTAAAAAAGTCAACAACGCTAATAACAAGAATAGAGTTGAGAGCCCAAAAGGGAATTAATTCCTTCATTCAAGCAGAATCAATATACACTAAAGCAGTGGCTGTGGGTGGTTGATCAGCTGAAGGACTGACTAAATATTGAAGAGAAAATCTGCAGGTTCTTCAATCTAAAGAGGCACATCGAGTTGCCGTGTTTCCCTTCGACCCCTCCTAACAGTTTCGAGAGCCAGCCTCCCAGAGAGGGCACTGAGTCACGTCGAGTTGCCATGTCTCCCTTCAACACCCCCTAACAGTTTCGAGGGCCTGCCGCCCAGAGAGGGCTGCTTCCCGTGCAGCCTGATGGTCTGGGGGAGCCCTGCCACACGGGGGTGAAGTGTTGAACAGCCCGTTAGATTAGCAGATGTGTTCGGAATGAACACAGAAGCGTTGCTTTGTTCGTAGGACACACGAGGCAGAGGATTTTACAGCAGTTGTTTTTCTTATGCCACCGTTTCAAGTGTTCCTGAGATCATTGTTTATTTTTCTTATTTTCCCTACTTTTACCGAAGCAATACTCAGCAGATCATTATACACCTTTCCCTTCTGACCTGGCTTTCCTCTCAGAGCAAGTCGCCGCGGCCTGTGGATTTCAGGGTTTCCGCGCCGAGGCAGGGATCCTGAACTACTACCGGCTGGACTCCACGCTGGGGATCCATGTTGACAGATCGGAACTTGATCACTCCAAACCCCTGCTGTCGTTCAGGTGAGCCGTCTCTGCCTGGGGCAGCTTTGTCCAGCTCCCTTTCCTTCCCCAGAGCACTTTTATGAGTGGTCGGTTGGACTCTGCTCTTCTGCTGCTGAGTGTCTTCCTAGACATTATTTTCAGTGGTGTTGGCTCTATCGCTTAAACACCCTTGCACATGACGGGAAACATTTTTGCTTAAGCCCGTGGATTATGCTTTGGCAAAGAGAAATCATTCTTAGGAAAGAGGGAGGCGAAGTGACAAACCCTTTTGGATAATGGCAAGAGCAGGACAAAGTCTGAGTAGTTCACTCTCCTTGTCTCTCTAAATGTAACTGGGTTGGGGGGCGGCAAGGGGATTGGTGTTTGGTTTGGTTTGGGTTTTGCTTTCTTTGCGGGGGGTCACACCCAGCAATTCTCGGGGGTTACTCCTGGCTCTGCACTCAGGAATTACTCCTAGTGGTGCTCAAGGGATCTTATGGGATGTCGGGGATTAAACCCTAGTTGACCCGTGTGCAAGACAAACGCCCTTCCCATTGTACTATCACTCTGGCTTGTGGAGTTTTGTTTTGTTTTTGGGCCACACCCAGCAGTGCTCATGGTTTATTCCTGGTTGGCTTTGGGGACCATATGGGATGCCAGAGACTGAACAAGTGCCCAACCACCAGCTATGTTATCTCTCAGGCCCCTGAATGCAGCTTTGTTGTTTTTGGTTTGGTTTGGGGCTGGAGCGATAGCACAGCGGTAGGGCATTTGCCTTGTACGCAGCCAGCCCATCTGAGCTGGGTTTGATTCCTCTGCCCCTCTCAGAGAGCCCGGCAAGCTACTGAGAGTATCTCGCCCGCACGGCACAGCCTGACAAGCTCCCCGTGGCGTGATGTATTTAATATGCCAAACACAGTAAGAAGTCTCACAATGAAGACGTTACTGGGCCCACTTGAGCAAATCGATGAACAACGGGAGGACAGTTCTACAGTGCTACTGAATCACAGTGATATACACATTTACAAAGTTGACCACGATTGGGTTTCAGTCTTATAATGTTCCAACACCTGTCCCTTCACCAGTGTACTTTTCCCACCACCAGTGGTCCCAGTTTCCCTCCTGCCCCCCATCTCTCCCCACCTGACTCTATGGGAAACACTTTTCTTCTGTCTCCCTCTCCCTTCCTCTCTCTCCCTCTCCTCTTCTCCCTCTCTCTCTCTCCCCCCCTTAATGGTTTTAGCACAGTTTTAAATAGAAGATTGGTGCAGTGGGGGGAGGGGCAGTGCACAAGGCCTGGCACTTGCCCTGCATGCGATTAACCCTAGTTTGACCCCCAGCCCTATGTATGGTCCCTGAGCATAGACCCAGGAGTAGCCCTTGACCACATCAGATGTGGTCCCCACTCCCCCCCAGTACTCCCCACCCCTGCAAAATTAAAAAACCCAGAAAATTGGAGCCAGGGCTGTAGCGCGGTGGTAAGGCCCCCGTCTCATGTGGGGTTCTGGACTTCATCTCAGCATGGCAAAAAACCATAAAACAGGATTTGAGCACAATGAATTCGAGTGAGGGGAAGGGGACATCCGGGGCGCAGTTGTCACAGGCGTCCTCCAGTGGTCAGCTCCAGAACCTTCGCGTTCTCATTGCTTGCCTTGTGTTCTCGCAGCTTCGGACAATCGGCCATCTTCCTCCTGGGAGGCCTGAAGAGAGACGAAGCCCCCACGGCCATGTTCATGCACAGTGGGGACATCATGGTCATGTCGGGCTTCAGCCGCCTGTTGAACCACGCGGTCCCCCGCGTCCTCCCGAGCCCCGAGAGCGCCAGCCTGCCTCCCTGCCTGGAAGCGCCCCTGCCCTCCGGCCTGCCCGCAGACGCGCTGGTGGAGCCCTGCTCCGAGGACGACCGGCGGGTGTGTGCCGCTTACCTGAGGACGGCGCGGGTGAACATGACCGTCCGCCAGGTGCTGGCCCCAGACCAGAGCTTCCCCCCGGAGCCCACGGCGCAGCCCAGAGGAGAGCTCGCCGCCGAAGGGCCCCTCCACCCGCGTGATCAGGAGAGCCCGGTGAAACGAGCCAGGCTAGACCCCGGCAGCTGAGACGGGGACACGGCGCTCTGCGACTCACAGGTGTCCCGGGAGACCGTCAGAGTCCCGAGCCAGAAGCGTATCACTGAGCGCAGGGAGGCCTCCCCCACAGCTCGCCGGGCCTGGCCGCAGTCTCTGCGGGAAACAGGAGCCAGACTCCATGTCCATGAGTCCTTGTAGATGGCTCAGGCGTTCCTAATGGGGCCTATCAGACCCCCGCTGTGACTAGTAATGCACTCTGTGTGTCCCCGTGCCAAGAAGCAACCACAGCCTCTCCATTGGTCCCATCAACATCAGACTCTTTGGTCTCCTTTCCTGGCTTCAGAGAATGCGGTGCAGATTAAGACAACAGAACTGGAAATCTCATCGCAAAGAACTTCATCCCAGCTGTTGCCTGGAAGGTGACTGTCTCAACCCAGGGAAAGGGGAATAGCAGCAGCTCGGCTGCCGGGGTCTCTCGACTCTCCCTGTGGGCTTTTAAATGCAGCTGTAACTGTTGGACTTGAAGAAGTCCTGAGGATGTTCTGTGACTCTTTTCTCCGTGAATAAACCAATTTGATTTTAAATTAAAGATCCGTATCTGTCTTTGAGGCCTGCTTAGCTGGGACTCCTTTCCTATTTGTATTTGCTGGATTGTTCTGAGCGTTCTCTGTGGCTGTCTCACAGAGGATATTCTTTGCTATCTATTCCGATCCCTGCACCGTCCTGTTGTTTGTGATGGTGAAGGGTCTGGAAAAGGCTTGAAACTTTCGAATTTTAATCTTTATATCCTCACTAACTTCCAGTACTCTGAGCTAAATGACTTTGCATTTCTCTGGACCTCAGTGTCCTCCTTCATGAAATAAAGATCGTTACTGCCATGTTCTTAAAAGGATGCTGATATTTCAGGTGTCAGTGGGAATCCGGGCTTCCATTCTAGGAAAGTACGGTGCCAGTATTTCGTGACTTTAATATATTTGTTGTGGTGGAGGCCTGGCTGGGCAAAGTTGATAGCCTGCCTCTTGATTAGCATTCGCTTTTCTCCTGCCAACTTCCTTTTCTTTCTCTTGTTTTTGCTTTGAGGGCACACCCAGCAGTGCTCAAGTCTGCTCTTCCTAGAAATCACTTCTGGCAGTCCTCAGGGGACCAGGTGGTGCCAGGAACCAAACCTGGGCCTCCTGCGCACTAGCATGTGATCTAGTCTGTTATCTCTCCGGCCCCATGTTTGTTTTTTTCCCTTTACCAGCATTTTATATGGAGTTTATATGTCCTCAGGATTTGGTGCTAACAAATTTGTTCTTGAATTTTTTGTTCAATTTTTGGACCACACCTGATGCTGTTCAGGGCTTACTCCTGGCTCTGTGCTTAGGGGTCACTCTTGGTGATGTTTATGGGACTGTGTGTAATGCTGGGGATGAAACCCGGGTAGGCTATATGCAAGGCAAGTGTCTTAGCCCCTATACTAACTCCCCAGGCCCAGAATTTATTCTTTATATATAACTGCGTTCTAAAATTAGTGCATGAGGGCCAGAGAGTTAATACAGTGGGATACTCCTTACAGGAATCCCACTTGGATTCTGTTCTCAGCATCCCATGTGACTGAGCACGGTCACGATCATCCTGTTGTTCGTCGATTGCCTCGAGCAGGCACCAGTAATGTCTCCTTCACCCTATCCCTGAGATTTTAAAAAGTGCCATATTCAAGGCTCTTTCAGGATTAGTAGAATGAGACCCATCGTTGTTACTGGTATTTGGCATATTGGGTACACCACGGGGAGTTTGCCAGACTCTGCCATGTGGGCAGGTTACATTCGGTAGCCTGCCAGGTTTGAGCATCACCTGGAGAATTTCTTAGTGCAGAGCCAGGAGGAACTCTGAGTGTGAACCCCAAAAAGATAGTACAGGAGTTACAGCACTTGCCTTGCCATCTGCCACTTCAGCTCACCCTGGTTCAATCCCTGAGCACTACCTGGTATCGCCCCAACCCCTTCCCCACCAAAAAATGGTTTAAAAAATAAAATTAGTGCATGGTAGGAAAATTTTAATAATAAAAATCTTAAAATCAGTGGACATTCAGTAGATTCACCACTGAGGATCAACTAGAGTGAATCATAACGTTCCCTCTGCCCAAGGATATCCAGAGGAGCCAACGCAACCCAGTCAAGGCTTGGAAGCCGTCCAGTCACAGAACAACAAAATAAGAAGGGGGAGATGTTGAGGACCAGAATCTGGAATGATGACATCCCTGGGTGGATCTCCCTGAAGAATTTCCCCTGAAGGAAGGCTTTTATGTTGTTAACCCCATGTTTATTTTTATACTTTACTATGTGTTTACATTTGACCAACACCCTCAGATAATGGAAAAGTCTAATCCAACTAAACAGTGTCTGTAGTTCTGATGTTTAATGGTTCTAATCAATAAATAGAGTAAGCTCAGGACAGTCCTTGGGGTCTCAGTCCAGGAAGCTATTAACCCCAAGCTGCCCCAGTCTCTTTCAAAAAAAAAAAAAGTCTTAAAATGTGGAGCCAGAATGATAATAACAGCAGGTAGGAAATTTGCTTTGCACATGGCTGACCCAGGTTCTATCCTATATGGTCCCCTGATCACCAGGAACAATTCCTGAGTCAGAGCCAGGAGTAACCCCTGAGCATCATCAGGGATGCCCCGCCCAAAAAATAAAACTAAATGCCCATCCTGCGCTGCTGTGTCATGAAGCAGCCTGCTGTCAGGAAAGCTATACCTCCAGCATAAACGGTTCACATTCGAAGGTGGCGACACATTGATCCATCACACTCACAAAGTGGAGTCCCCTGTGAGAAGAGCAGGTTTCTCTGCCTGCAGAGGCTTCCTCGGGGAGGGCGAGCAGAACTGTTTCCACAATTCTTTTTTGTGAGACATAATTACAGATACACGGAATGTAACTCTGCTTTGACAGTAATCAGGAAATTATGTAATTTAGGGGGGAAAAAAGTAAAAATGCCAATTTTCCTCCATTTCCATGATCATTGCCCTAAGTTAGCTGAAGTAGGCATGGGAAACCTACCTACCTCCTGTTTTGTCCTGCCCACATACTCAGACTCATCCTTACATTTCTAAGTGAGAAAAATCAAAGGAAGTTGTGTGGGGATGAGAATGACTCAGAAACAAAGCACATATTTGTGGCACATGAGAAGGATGTAAAAGTAAAAATTTCTGGACTTGGAGCAAATGTTCTCACGTGGGAGCCCTAGATTTAATTCTGGGCAAGAGGAAACTGAAGAAGACGAGGAGACCCGGAAGAGGAAAGGCCAGAGGGTGTCGGTGACCACCTGGCTTGCATGTGTGAGATTCAATCCCAGCACGACCCCAAGAATGAAGGGGGAACCTGGAGTTATAGAACAGCAAGTAAGGTGCTTACCTTGCATGCGTCCAACTGTAGACTCCCACATGGTCCCCTGAGCCCACCAGATGTGGCCCAAAAACAACAAAAATGAACCCCAAAGGCTGGAGAGCCCGATGGACTCTGCACCAAGAGGCCAGGCTCAGTCCCTGGCACCATGGGTCCCCCCAAGCTCTGCAGCATGTGACTCAAAAACAAAAATAATTTTTGAGGAGACTTACTCAGAGGTGTTGGGGACCACCAGGACCACACCCAGTGGTTCTGGGGGGACCGTGCAGTGCAGGGATCAAATGCTGGGCCATTGGCGTGCCAGGCACATACTCCAGCCCTTCAAGCTAGTTCCTTGTCCCCACTTTAAATTTCATATTTATATAGTTTTATTAGAATACAGTGCACTCTTATTTAGATTATCTGTAGCTACTCTGATGCTAAAATGAGAGTTTAAGAATTGCCTGTAGAGCCGAGAGATATTGATTGGATCTTTTATGGGAAAAATTTGCCTGCAACTAAATGGGAAGGATAGGGACAGAGAGATAGTACAGTGGGTAAGGCATTTGCCTTTCATGTGGCCAAATTGAGTTCAATCCCTCGTATCCCATATGGTCCCTTGAGCACTGTCAGGAGTGATCCCTGAGCACTGCTAGCTGTAGCCCAAAACCCAAAAACAGCAAGGAAAGGCAACCCCAAGAAAGAAACCTGAAATCAGAAGAAGGGACTTTGTTTCTCTTTTTTCCCTTGTTATTTTTACACTAAAGGAAGAAATTAAAATGCCCAAGTAGATAGATACTCAGTATGGTGTCGAGTCACAAATGTGCCTTAGAAAATTGGGTCCCTCAAATTCTGCTCTTGGGCTGGAAATTCTAAGCACAGTGATATATTGGATAGCTCACATCCTGCGGACCTGGTTGGCGACACAGTTTCCTCTCAGAAGTGATCTACCGGGGTCGGAGAGATAGTACAGCAGGTAGGGTGTTTGCCTTGCATGTGGGCGACCTGGGTTCGATCCCCGGCATGCCATATGGTCTGCCAGCACTGCCAGGAGTGATTCCTGAGTGCAGAGCCAGGAGTAACCCATGAGCATTGCCGGTATGACTGAAAAAAAAAAAAAAGAAGAAGAAGTGATCTACTTTCAGGGGTCAGAAACAGTGCAGGGGTTTAGGCCTTACCATACATGCAGCTCACACCACCACTCGGAACCCATGAACACTTCCAGTGAGTAAATTCTCTTTCTCCTAATACTTCTATCTCTACCTGAAATTTGCCAGAATGCAGATCTGGGCACACAGGACTGGCATAAGCAGGGGACTTTTTTGACCAGATGGTTTTGTTTTGTTTTGTTTTTTTGTAGTTTAGTTACAGAACTTTTTTTTTTTTAATTTTTATTCGTGAAACACCATGAGGTACAGGTGTAGACTTACAAATTTTTGTGCTTGGGTTTCAGTTACACAATGATCCAGTACCATCCCTCCACCAGTGCCCATTCTCCATCATTTACTTTTTTTTAATTTTTGTGAGTGAAACAACATGAGGTACAGTTGTAGATTTACAAATTTTTGTGCTTGGGTTTCAATTGTACAATGATCAAACACCCATCGAGGCAGGGTGGGATGGGGGATGGGGAGTGGGTTTTTATAATAAAGCGTCCTGTGCCCCCGTCAGTTGTGTTCC